CTCTACTCCTCCTTAGTATACGCAAAATAAGATATAATAAGTAATCGGTTCTCCTTTACGCTTAACTTAGGTAATAATCGATCCTAGGGTTAATATTAACTCTAGCTTATCCGGGTCTCCGTTCTCGAGGTAATATAGTCGCTTATTATTCCTATAGTAGAACCGATTCTACGTTATATTTATTAATAACGGATGGCGGCTATAGTTATAAAGCCGATCGAAAGTATTATAAAATTAATATTCGAATTCCTTATAGTTATTCGTTTAGGTTAATAAAATCTTATTACGTATACTTCGGTAATTTAATATGGTATTACGTTTAGAACTTATTAAGATCCTTCCGTTAGTTTATAGGTTATAAAGACTTAGGTTCCGAACCGCGTTTACTAAGAACGGGTTTTCCTATTAATATTATTAATCGGCGCCGTACGTATCCTTAGGGCTATAAAAGCTATTCTCTTAACCGTAGTTTTACGAAGTTATCTTTATCTCTAAAGCGTTAAGTCGGTCGTAAAAGGCTTATATACTAGCTTCTTAACTAGTATTTAGGTAGCCGTAAAAAGGTCTAAGCTATAAGGAAGGCGGTAGTAAAGGCATTTAAAGGCTAGGAGTCGTTAATCGTTAAATTATTTATATTATAAGCTTCTCGGGTTCTTCGAGAGTTACCGTTTTTTACTATCGTCGTTCTTCGGCTTAGGCCCTATCGGTAATTTATATTACTATACGTCGTTCCGCTTACTTATAAAGCTAGATATATAAAGTCCGGTAGTCGATATTTCCGATCTTATTATAATTATAATCTTCCGTTTTATAAAACTTTATAATTAAGGATATCTGGAGTTTATCGGTTAGGTATCCTACTTTTTAGGAAAGCTTTCCGTTATCGTTTACGAGCTTAAAAAGACGTTTATAGTTTATAAGATACGTAAAGATCGCTTTAGGATCGTTAATTACGTTGCTTCGTTTTAGCTATACGAGTTTACGTTTAACGTTAGCTTAGCTTAGTTTCTCGGTAATCCTAAAACGGTACTTTAAGGCTATAACGATAACTCTTTAGATCGTTTAATCCTTCGTAACGTCGTTAATACGCTTCCTAATAATTTTAATCGCAATCTATTCGCCGATCTCCTTAATCTTATCGTCGTTACTTATACGGTAGCGGTTAAATAATCGATCCATCCTTTTTAGCTATTAAGTTACGTTATATTTATTAAACTTAAGCCTAGGGTAATTAGTAAAGTTAGGGAATCTAATAGCTAGTATTACGATAGTCGGGATAGCTATTGGTATATTCTAATTACTAGAGGCCCCGTTATTACTATTCTAAAATAACGCTATAAGGATTAGCGGGATAAGTATAAAGCCGCGGGTAAGGGGTAGCTAAGTAAGAGTTTTATCGTCGTCCTCCTTCTCTTCGGGCGGATATAAAGGCGGAAAGCTAATATCGACTCTTAAGGTTTTTAATAGTAGTTTAATCTTTATTACTTTAGGTCCCGATAGCGATTTATTCCGTTTCCTAGCTATAAACTCCGTTTAATCTAACGGTACGAGGTATAAAATAAAAAGAGGAGTAGTAAGGGTTTTATTATCTAATATAAGAGTAAAGGTATAATAGTTATTATTTATATCCTAATACTTTTCCTCTAGTATAGGTATGTTATTATTTATTATATTATTCCGAACGATAGGGTCCGGGTATTATACGAGCTTCTCTAGTTAGCTAACGCTTAATTAAAGTACGATACGTATTTCCTAAATTAATAGTTTAATTATTATAAATAAATCGACGATAAATCCTCTTATTAAGGTCTAGAACTCCTAACGTATAACCTTCGTTAAAGTAATACGTATAGAAAATGGATCCCGAGTAAAGGATCGCGTTAGATACGATACCGGTTATAGCTATAGGCCGGTTTCGATCTAACGGGGATTATTTAATAGTATTAACGGTATTACCGCTAGGCGCCGTTTTACGTCTATATTAATACTTCTCGCTATACTAACTATTAGTTAGTAATATAAGGCTAGCCTATATATAGATATACCTATTAGCTCGACTCTAGTTCCGTTTCCTTAATCCTTTATATCTACGTAATCTTATTAATATTAATTCCTAGTTCTTTTTAAAACTATCGGTTATTAGTAGTTATTAGTTTATTAATTCTTATTTATATTATTAATATAAATATCTATATTATATCGTATACTATATCGTCGAGTTACTACGCCTAGGTATCCTAAAATACCTTTAGTATAATAAATTATTAGTATTTATATATTTAGTTTATATCGATTAATAAGTTTAAAGGGAAAAAGAAGCTATCGTAAGATCGGTTAAGGCATACCTATTATTAGCCTTTATCCGCCTTTAGTATTAATAAGGGAGTAGCGGGTCGTATAGGTTATCGTAATTTATACTAAGGCGCTCGTACGTCTAGTTTATATAGTAAATAAATAACCATAAGGGGGCTATCCTAATCGCTATAAGCTTTATTTACTCGTACGAGATATATTATATTATTAGCGGTTCGAGGGAGCGGTTAGTATCGAAGGCTAAGTACTATTCCTAATAGCGGTAGTATTACGACGATAATTTCCTAGGCTTACGAGTACCTCCTTATAAGTAGGTAAAAGGTTATACGAGGTTTACGTTAATCGCTATAAGCGCTATTTATTCGTCGTATTAGATCGTAATATCGATAGCTTATTAGCGTTATAAGTATTAAGGGCTAGGTAATATCCTAATAGCTATGGTATCGTAAAAGTTCCTAGGCTTATACGTACCTCTTTATACCAGATAAATAACCATAAGGCGGGATACTCTATTTCATATAAAACGCGGACTACTTCGCGGGTTAAATAGCGGCGCCGACGGCGATCGGTATCCTCTAAATCCTAATAGCGTAATAGAAACTCCGTAAACTAAAGGTTAAGGGGTCGAAAAAAGTTATAAGGTAGTCGCTACTAAGGAGGAATAAAGCGTACGCGATATTAAAGACCCGGATAGGTTTACTCGAAAGTATATTCTATCGAAGATTATAATACGTACGATAATCTAAGATAAATAAAACTAATATTACTATATTAATTAAAAGGTAAGAAATCTAATGTAATTATCGTATCTTAGCTATACCCCTTAGTCGTAGAGATATAATAGTCGCTAGCCCGAAGGCATAAGAGGTAAGGAAAGAAAAGGGGTAAAACGCAAAAGTCTCTTATTCGGCCATAACGATACGACGAAGTAACTTAAGCGCCTATAACTAAAATAAATATACTAATCGAAGAACGACAAATCTAATAATAAAAACGAATCTTTAATTAAAGTAAAAATAGTAAAGATAATAATCTAGCTAGGTAATAAACTAAATAATAAGTATAATATATCCCGTACTTACGGGAGCTATGGTTACTTTATATAGGCATAAGGCCTATCGTAACGTGTTACGTAATGCATCAAGAGGGCATGTCTTACCGCACCACTACAGTATACCTTAAAATGAGGCCCGAAAACGAACTAAGAATGCCTCTTTTTAATGGAAAACGACGAACTGGAGTATTACCTTTTAGTAAATAATAACGAAATAGGGGGTACTCTTATACGAGCGGGACGAGCTTTCTGAGACCCTCTATACGAAGAAGTTAAAGCGGGATAAAAATAACGAGAAAATAACTAAGCGTACCCGTAGTCTAGATGCCTCTTTAATGCCTGGGTTCGATTACTAGCTAGATAGAATATAAAACGTACTTAATTCCTAAAACCTCCTATCTAAGGTACCCTTACTAAACAATACCCTTTAACTCTCGAGGGTTACTTATATAACGCGTATTATATAATCAGAAGGGCTCGTACTCAGCTGGTATATAGGCAGTAGAGGGAACTTTCGGGCGGACGCTAGCCATTTCGGGGCAGCCGTAATAGGGTCTGCGTCCGGCGTTAGTAGCTTCTTTAAGCATTTCTTCAAGCATTTCTTCAAGGTATACTCTAAGAAGCCGGACAACCGTTCTTATGGGTATGTACGTGGACCTGCCCTTGGCTGCGACGGAGGGTCTGCGATCCATACCTAAGCTCAATGGCGGCGAAGTACGCGAGATAGGCAAGATCACAGACTGGAAATCTGGTGCCACCGTAGCCGGCAGGAATTTCAGGGATAGCCTCGTGGACGGGTTCACAGATCTTGTCCGCGAACCCATGAAGGGGGGCAAAGAAGAGGGGGCGCTGGGGGCAATTAGAGGTATCGGAAGGGGGTCTACGAACATGGTCGCTAAGGTATCTTCAGGTAAGCGCACCCCCTTTTACCATTCCATTCTTAGGAGGCATACCGTTAACGTGCTTGTGCTTTTCAAAGGGGCGATAGGGTTGTTGACCTACCCCGGCCGCGGTATCTGCAAGAGTATCTCCGCGTCCGTTCATGCCGCAACCGTCGGGTCTATCAACCATGCTGGACGGTCCGAAGGGCGGTATTTAGCTAACGATTCGACCGGGGCTTGCGGGAAGATCGACGAATCGTCGGTGCTGCAGTCATTCGACACACCTATGTCACGCTAGCGCGGACAGCCCTGTTCGAGGTCGACTTTTACAGCTCCCAACACCTACCACCATTGTTGGAATATGAATATACGTGACGCATGCCTTTAGGGGGGGTCGCCATGGTTAACTCCGAAATGGTATCTGGCTTATGTAGGGTGACCTCATCTAAATGTGAAAGAGACTGGTGGTCCGACCGTTGCGGTTTTCGATATTTCTCGGGTCATTGCCACCTTCAGACCCATTGATCTGGGTTAGAGCTTGCTCGACAGTCTACCGGGATCTAACGATACTTACGACTCAGGCTCTACGCCAATTTCCGAAGCAGATCTCCATTGCGCTGTAAACTCACGGTGGAATCTCTGGGGCGATCTGCCCGTCCTCAGGACAACTTTCGATAACACGAAGACGGCTGAGTTCAGAGCGTGAGAGCCTCAGATTAGGAGCTTCAGGAACCCCGGCCCCTATGTCTCAAAAGACGAGATAGACAATTCAGTAGCCGTCGCGTGCTTCTTAGGATCGGCCAGACAAGTGGCTTCAGCTGGCCTGAAAGAGCGAGGCGTGATCAACACGGCCTTGGATAGGAAGACGGTGGGACCGATGCTTAGTTGACATTGTCGTAGATGCCAGGAGAGGAGGCGGGTGGTTGAATTTAAGTTAAGTGTTATAGATGATGGCCATCTCTCTCTATTACACCCCCCGCGCAGATGATTGAATTACGGGCCTCACGGGCAACGACGCCACGTCCATGAATTCAGACTGGCTTGTCGGGCTGGGTCAAAGGGGCCCTTGCCGGGTTGTAGATATTGGCGATACCACGACGTCTTCGCGCATGTCTCAAGAGCGCGCCTTACAAACCAGGTTGGTGAGGCGTGCATGACTTGAATAGCACAAGAGTCGGTCGGGTATACAGGCCAACCATGCCACCACTTTGGAGAGCCAGGGCACAGGTCTAGGCTCGGTGCCGGTTCTGGATCTAGCCGCACACTTGGGCCAGGGCCCTCTCTCTGCAGTTGTTGCCGCCGTGCTGCCAGCACTGGGACTGGATGTAGTTGACGGTCGAGAACACGCTGTAGATGCACTGGGCATAAGCGGACGAGGTGGCGCACTTTGGGGCGCACTGCGGGCAGGCATCGGCGTACGACCCGGCCGCTTCTTCACAGACGGTCAGGTCGGGTGGGCCGGTAGGAGTGGGCGTGGCGCTGATAGTCGAGGTGGTCAACGACTGCGGCGACGGTTAGAAATCTGCCACGAACGGAAGCGGTCGCGTGAGCATGGGAAAACATACCTGGGCCAGAGCCACTGCGGGCAGCGCTAGGGCGACGATAGAGGCGAACTTCATAATGGCGGCGATCGGCGAGGCGGGATTCGATCGGGTGGTCGGCGCAGAGAGGCTGGGAGAGCGAGGGAAATATTCCGGTATAAGTCGAGGGAATTATCCCCAAACAACAGAAGTCTGCCCTACCTTATATATATGGCGAGAGAGTGCGGAAAATTTGCCTGGTAGAGGCGTTCGGATCTGGATCATCGTGTGGGGCGAGGAAGCCTAACTCAGCAGCTCCGTCTTGTCAGATCCGCCCTCTCCCGGTTGGCGGCATGGACATTGCAATCTCCCTTCACCACGGATCCCTGGATCCCCTATACTCCGTAGTATGTTCAGAGTATGTATACGGTTAGGCAGCCGCTTGCCCCTGGAAATCGGAAACGTATACATATGTGCACATTTACCCAGCATAGGACCCCCTGCTCGAATATATCCCTACATTTGCAGTGGAGTCGCCGTCTTGACAGAACACCAAGAGGCAAATCTAACCACCGGACAGCTCGAAGCGTTGAGCCGAGGAGGGCGGAATCGGGGGTGTAGCTCTTGTCCCTCTGCGGACGCGAGTGTCACAGAGTCCAGTGCCTTTGAGCGGTACCGACATGTGGCCGGGTGTGGGTGGTAGAAATGAGGGCATCGCGCGAGTGGTGCGCCAGGACGGTGCTGACGCAGCAGAGGAGGGTCCGACGAAGGGCGATCGTGGAAGCTCGCGATCGAGAATGGCCAGAAGTTACCTGGGTCGTGGGCGTAAAGCTGGGACGGGACCCGGGGACTCCTGCCAGAGAGACGGATCCGGTTCGGGGACGAGATGGTTGCGAAGCTCTAGAAGAAGTCGTGGCATTTCTCCGCTTTTCTCGGCCTCACGACGCGATGGGCCGTAAAGAAAAGACCGAGTGAAACCAAAAAAAAAAAAGGGACGGCATCTCCGGTGGTGGAATGAGATTCTAAGCCGGCCGCGGAGCTCTTGTCTGGGGTAAGCATGCGTGCGGCGGTCTCATCATACTGATGGACTCTCGCGCCATCGCTGGCAGCTGGAAGAAGAACAGCTTTCGCAATTTTCGTGGGGGCCCATCTGGCCCCCTGGATAAAGATGCATAAAGGCCTGCCACGCTGCTGCTCCTATCGCTGTTGCTTGACACAACGTACACAGGATCGACTCCGGTTCAATTCTGTGCTTCTTTTTCGCCTCATGCTCACTGATCGCACACTTGTTGTCCTCGTATCAATCCGAATAGCAGAGCATAGCGAAGAAGTGCTGATGAACGAAGCGCGTGTCATTTCTGGGGTACTACGCAGCAACTTAATGGTGAGATGCCCTGGAGTATAAATGGTACTTGGGCAGGTATGCAATGGCTGTATAGGTAGAAACGCCAAAATCAATCCCGCAACGGCGTCTTGCCATTTCCTGAGGTTGCTCTGGGTATTATATACGCATGTGTAGGTATGTCTATGTCTACCTCTTACCTTGCTTGAAGGAATTGTCGTGCCCCCCGTCCCCTCCCCTCCCCTGGGCGCTGCCGAGTGCTTGGCTGCTGCGTCATTTCTCCGTGATAATCTGGTTCGAGGGATCTGTGGAAACCATCAGAGTCCCCAACACGTTGAAACGAAATTAGTTACCATCGTCGTCGCGCTCCTCTACATTCCCCCGACGCGAAATGCATCCTATGGGAGACGAGGGAGTGTTACATACGACACTCTCAGCCGGGCGTCTCCATTCGCGGTGACGTGAACGGGCTGCATCTTCATGTGACTACCGGCCTTAGTGTGCCGTCGTAATCAATGTCTCCAACTGTGGTGAGGGGTAACTGCTTAGGTTGACGTATTGATTCAGCCTCATCTCTACCTCAGTTTAAGAACAAGCACGCCGTCCCGCTTCTAATTCTTCTATGCGGCTTGTGCACATTCTATGGCCTTGCCCTCTTCCGTGACCCTGCCCTCTCCGGCACCATTGCCAGTGCCCGTGCTCCCTCCTGTGCTTCAATTGACCCTCAGCCGCTTCTTACCCTCGCCGTTTCCGTTGGCGGTGCCGTTGCCGTTAGCGTCTGCACCCTCCTCCTGGGCGGCGAAATACTCCAAGCTGCCCTTGGGATCGGCCTTCATACCCTTGCTGCCGTTCTGCCAGCCGGCCGGGCAGACCTCGCCGTGCTCGTCGGTGAACTGGAACGCCTCGACCAGGCGGATGGTCTCCTCGACGTTGCGGCCCACGGGGAGGTCGTTGACGGTGATCTGTCGCAGGACGCCCTTGGGGTCGATGATGAACAGGCCGCGCAGCGCGACGCCCTCCTCCTCGATCAGGACGCCGTAGCTCCGGGAAATCTTGTGCGACTTGTCCGCGACGAGCGGCAGCTCCAAGTCGGCACCGAGGCCACCCTGCTTGCGGGGCCGCTCGGTCCAGGCCAGGTGGGAGAAGTGCGAGTCGGTGGAGACTCCGAGCACGGTCGTGTTGATGGCGCGGAAGCGAGGGAGCGCATCGTTATACTGGATGATCTCGGTCGGGCAGACGAAGGTGAAGTCCAGCGGGTAGAACAGGAGGACGACCCTACGCGGCGGAGCAGGCCAAGTCAGTTGTCAGCTGCCACGGCTGCGAGCCACGCCCTCCCGCTACGAGTGCGTGGTCTACCCCGCGTGTCTAAGACACGCGGGGACGGACGACAACGACCGCGACAGCACGGACAGGAGACTGAAGCGCAGAGAGGGAGAGAGAGAGAGACGTACCATTGGCCAAGATAGTCGGACAGGGAGACGTCCTTGAACTCGCCGCCGGGGAGGACGGTGGTGGCGGTGAAGGCCGGAGCCGGGCGCTGGACGAAGGCGGTAGACATTGTCGGCGATGCAGACAGGTGATGGGGATAGAGCGTGATGGGGCAGTGCGGATGTTGCTGCGGGTGTGTTGTTGTCGAGGGAAGAGAAGAGAAGAGAAGAGAAGAGAAGAGAAGAGAAGAGAAGAGAAGAGAAGAGAGACGGTTCGGAAGAGAAGAGTGTTCGGGCTATGGCCAGGTTTACCGTTCTCGGTGAATGGATGGTAAGGGAAAGAAGGGCATAGAAATGTGGAAAGGGGGGCCCGTCCGGGTTTTGGCGAGGAAATTCCAGCGCCGCTTAGGCCCCTGGGGTTGCCCTGGGTTGCCCTGGAACCGGGGGATGAGGGAAGAGGTGCGTCGGCGCCTTATCGGAGCAAAGTGCGATTGCGCAGAGAGAGGCCGGGATGGATCGACGACATCAGATAGGGCGGATGGATTGACCGACCTTGACAGCTCGCGCCCGCCTAGATCCCCTAAGCCTACTTAGGCCGTCCTCGGGTCACCCTCTGGCTCGCCGCGGTCTAGCTTCGCGGTTTGCTCCGTCTCGCCATCTCGCCAATACCGCCTTTTCCACCCCCGATATCGCGTGATTTCGCTGAGGCGTGTCGCGTTCACGCGTCTGCCTCCCCTCTCCCCCAGATGAGCGAAATAGCGAAGAGTACCAAGTGGCGCTGTCAGGAATCGGGCCTATCCTTCGTCAAGTAAAGGTACCTAATATCGGAGCCAGGCCGGTAAGTACAGGAAGATACCTGGGTACCGTCCATGGCAATCCTCCCTCCGAGGAAACCCATCATATTCCATCTTATCTTATCTCATCGTAACCCACCACACCGCACCACACCACACCTCTCTTCTTCTTATGACACTTTGCATCCGCCGTCACAGTGCCTTGCTCTTCTTCTTCCTATTTCGGACTTGCATGTTCAAACGTAGCCGGGCTTGGACCACGCCAAATGTCCAAAAAATAAAAAAAATAATCAAAAAAAAATAAAAACTTGCTCTTCTTACCTGCATCCCCACGCATCGGAGCTGGGGGATACGCCGTCGTCACATAATCAATTCCACAGTCGGACGATGCGGATGGGAGAGGTGCTGATGACGCCAATCAATCGATGACTTGCTTCGAGGATGGGCGCGCGTGCGCTTACATAGATACTCCGACCTCGAAAAGACGTGGGATCGATAGAAATATGTTAGGTTTACTGTAGCTAGCTTCCTAGCTTACCCCGTATTGGCGATTCCCAGCCTCTCCGTACTCCTCGCCCTCTTTCTCCACGCAAGCTCTCGCCCCGCCCGTCTCGGGCATTCTACCGCATATTGCCAACGTAACCATGCTAGTCCTTGTCACTGGCGCTACCGGCAACATCGGCCGACATGTCATAAGCAGCCTCCTGGCTAGGGGCCATCGGGTCCGAGCCCTCGCTCGCAGCCCCTCCTCGTCCTTCTCGTCTGACACTTTGTCGCGCCTCGAGAGCGTCGTGCCCACCAGCGGCTACGACGATGTCGCTGCTTTAGATCGTGGCTGCGCCGGCGTCGACGCCATCGTCAACGCGTACAGCGGGAAGCCCGAGCTCACGCTCGAAGGCCAACTCCTGCTGCTCCGGGCGGCCGAGCGAGCCGGCGTGAAGCGGTTTGTCGCGTCGAGTTGGAGCTACGACTGGACCGCCCTGCAGCTCGGCCAGCACGAGAGCTACGACCCGTTTATCGCCTTTCGTAACCACGTCGAGCTCACGTCCGAGATCCGACCCATCTACATCCTGACCGGCGTCTTTGCCGAGGTTTTCTTCGCCGTCCCGGGACACGGCGACTTTACCCCCCGAAATCACGGATGCTGGGATCCGCAGCGGAGAAGACTCGAGATCTGGGGTACGGGCGACGAGCCCTGGCAGTGGACCACCGAAAAAGATGCCGCCGAGATTGCCGCCGAGATTGTGCAGCGGGACGATGCCGCCGAGGGCGGGTTCTGGCGTGTCTGCTCCGGTGTGAACACGCTGAGAGAAATCGCCGCCACGTACGAGCGCGTTCGGGAGACGAAGGTGGACGTTGAGGTCATGGGGGATGTAGCAGAGCTCAGAGAACAAGCCATGCGAGCAAGACGTAACGGATCCCGGCGCAACTTCTGGCCATACATCGGGTGGTTCTACCAACTCTTTACCGTCGATGGGACGTGGACCCTTACGCGCCTAGATAACGAGAAGCTAGGGGTTCCCACGACAACCCTAGAGCAGTTCTTACGAGAGCACCCGACCCTCTAGCAAATGAAACGGTATTTGGGGCCAACATGCTAGTTAGTATGGAAAGGTTCGTATATATATTATATATGCCTATCCGCCGCCCCGCAGCTGTGATTTGCGAGATGCGGCTCTATCGTCCGCGCATGAACGTACATAGGGTAGATGAAAGCATCGAACCGTTGTCCATATTAGTACGGTATCTTCAGGACCGACTGTCGTTCGTCCGTACCTCCGCCTACCCAGAACCGCCGTGGCAAGGAAAGATGGATATCTGTCGAGCTGATAAAAACGATAACAAAAGAGAGGGGGAACAGGTCAGCAAGTAATAGTTAGTTCGTGTCATCTCTCGGTCGGGCCTCTCTACGACGCCGGCTTCGCAGCCCGTAGTATCCGAAGGCCCTCTTCCCAACCGCGCTGTTCGGCGATCTCCGTTATCGTCATCCCCGAGTCGTCTTTGGCGCTGAGGTCGACACCGCACTTGTCGACGATAAGCTTCAGTACGTCCGCGTCGCCATTCTCGATAGCTTGGATGATGGCGTTGTGGCCACGGTATATCTTGTTGGGGTCCGCGCCGTAATTCAGCAGCAGCTCGATGATCTCCGTGTCCGCCCCGTGGGTTCGCCGGAGCGCCTTAACAATAGGCAAGTGCTCGCCCGGGGCATTGACATCGGCGCCGGCCTCTTCCTACAGATTCGACATTCGTCAGCACGCGCCGTCCTTCGTGCGGGTATGTTGCGTTACTCGGCCGTAGACGGGGCGGGGGACGCCTTACCAATAGATAATGGACAATCTCCTTGCGCTCCTCGCGGATGGCCGTCGTCAAAGGCGAAAACACCCCGCCGTTGCGATCCTCGACGCTCACGCCTGCCTTGAGCAGCAGCTTGATGCTCTCCAACTGGTTGGCCACGACAGCCATCTCCATCACTCCCTTGAATGCGCGCGGTTCCGCCAACGCCGGCAGGAGGCGCCTCAGGATTGCTGGTTGACGCACTGCCATGCATACCGGCCAGTTCTCTCCCCTGATGTTGGGATCAGCTCCGCGGGAGAGAAGAAGGTCCTATTAGACGCATCCAGAAGCCATTAGCAATCGTACTCCGCTCGTATTCGGGGCAGAGAGGCGGCGCGGGAGCTATCTTACCACCAGGTCGGAGCGGTTCTCGCGAATCGCCGTGGTCAGCGGCGTGGCGCCGGTCTTGGGGGTCTTGTCGTTGGGGGAGACTTTCCCACTGTCTAGGAGCCAGTACAGGGCTTCGACATTCTTGCACTGGACGGCTGTTTCGAGAATACCCCTAGGAGAGTTGAGATCCGCACCAGCGGCGACAAGTGGCGCGAGATACTGTGTCCGGTAATGGGTAACGCATTTGAACGCGGGGTATTCAGCACTAGGTACGTTCGGGTCTAATTGTATTGTGGGAAATGGTATTAGCTTCTTCCCCCTCCCGGTCTGATAACAAGAGAGAGCTGGGGGTGAAGAAGACGCGAGCCGTCAAAGGAATGGGTGAAGGAAGCAGAAGGGAGATAACTTACCTGCGCCGTGGGCGAGCAAGATGTCGAATATGTCGGCACGGTTATCTCGTATGGCTGAGCACAGCGGTGTGTAGATGCCGTCCTTCTTGGCATTAGGGTCGACGCCGGCTCTAAGCAGCACTCGCACAGAGTCGATGCTATTGATCGATGTAGCCAGTTCCAAGACCCCTGGGGCCTTCTTAGGATCGGCACCGCGATTGAGAAGTAGCTCGAGGATGCGGGGATGCCCTGCCGCGGGCCACAGCCTAGACGCCAGAGATGTTAGCGGTCGACTTGGGATAGAGGACGTGGGATTAATTTTCGGTGCATCCAGTAACGCGCCGGTCACGCTAGCCGTGGCCGTGCGCCTTGTCTGTCCCGTAGTGGATTGGATATCGTGATCTGAATAGCCACTCACTGCGATGCGTCAGCTTGTATTCAATAGCTAGCCTGGGCCTAGCCGGCAGAGCCCTAGAGTCTGGCCCGGGGATGTTCTCTTCCTTTACGTACCATATGTTTCGGCCCGGGGAGGTTGGGGTTGGCTCCGTGGTCCAAGAGGCTCGCAACAACATCGACACGATTTGACTCTATAGCCTCGAAGAGGGGCGAGTGCCCCTGTGTATTCTTCGCGTTGGCGTCGGAGCCGTACTCGAGGAGCATGTCGATGATCCTCTTGGTCCGCTTTTTGACAATGGCCCTCATCAAAGTGGTGTCGCCATTAGCCATGACGTGGTTCACATCGCCTCCGTAGGTGAGGATGATTCGGGCTAGATCAAACTTGTCCTCGATGATGGACATGCCGAACGGCGTCTCGGACTCGGGTCCAGCCGCGAGGTTGGGGTCCGCGCCATACCTGCGATTCGGCACGATCGAGGTCAGTAATCACAGTCTTCGTGCGTGGATAAAAATTAGGTTGGGGAAAGGGTTATCCATAGTGGTGTTCGGTATACGTTCACTGCCAGAGACCGACTTACTTTAGGAGCATAGTAACGGCATCCCTAAAGGATTCCTCGACAGCCGCATATAGAGGTGTCACGTTGTGATGATCTGGGGCATTCGGGTCCGCCCCGAACAGAAGCAGGATACGAACGGTCTCCGAATCGTGCCGCATGATGGCTTGGTTCAGAAGATGGGGATCGGAACCGGTTTCGGGGGAGACGCCCCGGTCCAGCAGCTGCTCGATCAGCTTATGATTGCTTGTCTCCACAGCGGAGATCAACGCCTCTCTCAGTGCGGGTGTGTCTGCACCCACAGTGTTTCGTGGAGTCCATCGGGGCATGGTCAAAGGATCGGCCTTCAACCGGATGACCTTGTACGGCTCGAACGATTCCATATCGTCGACCAGGGTATCTACCTCCGTCATAGCGCCTGAAGTCCCGGAGCTGTGGGCGTTGGGACGATCCAGAAGATCGACCGAGGATACCACGCGCTCTCGGGCGCCACGGGAAGATGAGCCGCTCCCCATGGTGTAATTTGATATGGACGGTTCTCTGTGGATCTCGGGCAGGAGCTGGAGTCCCGGATTGTGAGGATCCTCGCGGGTCCTCAACGAGGAGTGGTCTGTCACCGAGCTTTTGCTCTGGGGCGCGGGCGGAAGCGGCCAAACCGGCGGGATCTCTTGGACCGGTTGGGCTTGGTGGGCGACCGCAGGGCTGGTATTGACAGGCTGGAGCTTCGGGGCACCTTCGACTGTTCGCCCTTTAGACATGCGTTCCAGGGCGGCGGCGAGGCCCGTGTACCCAATGCCTACCGACTCGTCAATCTTGTCGTCTCCAAGAGACCACTGGAAGACGAGTGCGCTCATTCTAAGGGCCTCCCTAGTCTTGGCCAGGCTATCTCGCATCTTCTCCACGTCGTTGTCGGCGAACATCTTGCGCCATCCCTTCTGGATTTTCCCCATGGTACCCTTCTTCTCATATTCCAGGAGGCGGCTCAACATGTGGTCGAGCACCTGGAAATCCGTGTTGGCTCCCCTGAACTTCTTGTCGAGCTCCGACATCATCTCGGCGGGGAATCTCTGGTTGCTCCTCGAGCACTCGGTCAGGCCAGCCTCAAGTGACCACATGATTCGACACGTCTCCAGAAAGTCGTGTGCCAGTTCGTCGAACTGGTGGCCGTGCTTCTCGACGGTGCCGACATATTCGAGCATGTGGATCGAGATCTTGTTACCCAGGACCGTGGCCTTGTGGCACTGACTGACCACAGACTCGATAGTGGGAGCCATGGCGACTAGGTGCCCGGAAAAGAGGTGTGATTTTGGGGGGGGGGTTAAAAACAAGAAAATGAAATAAAAACCCCCGACTACAGCCTGGCGGGGGGAAGGGTCGCCGGGTTGAGAACCAAAAGATCGGAAATGAAGTCAAGAGAGCCTTTTCTCGCCCGACGACGGATGGAGGGGAAGTCCTTTATGTGATGATCTTGCCCGTGTGCTGGATTGGGCATTCAGCTGCTATGGTCCCACCAGATGTGGTCTGGCCGCGAAGCGTCCCTGGTCGACGAGATATCTGTTCAAGCTGCTAACGCCTACTACGTAGGTAGTCTTCCCCGGTGTGATTCGCACATTTTGCCGTCTGTGCGAACTGCCTAGTCTCGACCAACAGGTTTAAAACCCCCGGAGCCAAGGATAAGCCCTGCATAGGGTCGAGATTCCGCTGGACTATCGAACGCTACTAAAATGTGTATAGAACTCGGTTCGTCGCTGGCGTAGTTTCATGATGTCTGGGTTGGGCCGCCCCACCTAACCGGTCTGGCCTATGAAGGACTATACTCCAAGATGGATGTATTCAGGCAGCAAGAACATAGCCAGTCCGGATGAGGCAGAAAGCTACTAATATGATACTACGCAGCAGGCGGGTGGGTGTAGCGTGTGGACCGTGTAGACCCCGAGATGGGTGTGTGGAATGCCGTCTCGCATTCCCGGCAGTCTACAGCAGCCAGGGCTTGGCTTTTTAATGTTGCTCGTGGAGAGAGAGAAACGCACACACACTCACACTCACACAGAGACAGAGCTGCCAGAACAGCACGTGGGAACGGTTTCACGTCCTACCTACCTACCTACATAGTATGAATAGCGTAGGCCTCCACAGCCACCGCATGAGCGCAGTGGAGGGTTCCCCCGGTGGCCTATGAGGGCCGATTCAATAACCGGTTCTGTCTGAAACCCTGTCTCCTTTGGTGTATAGCAGTCTGAGATAAGATCTGCTCGGGCATTGCTGTATATAATAAGCGGATTGGGGACTCGGGTGGCCATGTGCGCGCACATGCATACTCATAGCCAGGTATAACGTAGCAGTGTGGCTTGCTCACATGACAGGGGGGCTGCTTGCTCTCCTTCTCTTTCTGTCTCTCTGTCTCTCTACTCGACTCTGCCTCCGTGCTGTTAGTAGGGATCTAGAGAAGGGGCCGGACCTAACTCCGCGCCTAAGCATACCGCGTAGGGATGTAGGCCTCAGCATCTGCCTACTCCCACGCTGTCGGAATGCGGAGCCCAGAGACGTGGCGGCACACTAGGTTGAATACGAGATAGGAGACTCGGGCAAGCCTAAGGCGTTTGACCGAGTTGCTAGCGGCTGGGAGCCGAGACCCGGAACCAAGGGGGGAGAGCCCAAGGAACTAGGTCTCACCGGCTTCGCATCCGCATCTTCTCCTGGCGCTTCCGGTAGCCTCATAGTGAAGCGGCGCAGAGGCGTCGGTAATTATTTTCCAATTGCGGAAATCTGGTTCCTTTCTCTCCAATTTACGGGTCCTGTTAGTGCACGCCTGGCTGAGCAACTATTAGGTTGCTAACCCCCTGGCTAACCGAGGAGATTTCGCGCCAGTGTGTGCCTACATGATGGAGGAGGCAACAAACCTGGGCCGCCGAGCATGCCACCGCTGTCTGTTCGTCTGTCCATCTACCTAGGTAGCTATCTGCCTGCCTGCCTGTCTGCCTGCCTGTCTGCTGGCCTGCCCTTCTTACTCTACTCATACACTTGTCTCTCCAGCGGCTCGATGGCCTCTATGTATGTGCATCCTGGCGGTGGCTCACGTATGCATGTACGCAGGCAAGCAATATGCATGTAGGAGCGGATCTCTGTTTCGGTATTGTCTTGCAGCGGCTTATGCAGATTGGGAGTTTGCGGCGTCTTGGCGGTGGATGGGGAAAACGGCCGCCGTGGCTAAGGAGGGACCTAGTGATGTGAGATAATAATACACCCTGTCCCAGAACCCCTCCACCATCTTGTCGTCGCCAGATCCCTCGATCCCTCCTGGCACGCGCTGCGTTGCCTGTATGTCTTTGCAAAGCCTCACATGCAACGCGCAGATGACATCGTACATGCATACCTCCCTCATGTATATTAGCAACCACCCGGCACATCTGAGACAGCGTACGCCATTGCGGCTGCAGCCCGGGATTTGGTCAACGGGGGGTCATGCCAGGGGCCGGTATTTGAGCCCATCATACCGTAGGTATTACCACCCTACCTTCGGTGCGTAGGCACCTTTCGTAGTTAGACAGGTATGAGGTATGTACGTAGGTGGTATGGGCCCCGGCTTATCTTCTGTTAGGGCTAAATGGGTGGAATCCGTTCGATGCGATAGACAACAGGCGTTGAGGTGCTATCTCGCCGCCGCCCATGGCAAGATAAGACTGGCTGACTAGTTCCGTCCTGAGATCGAGACCGCCACGTTTCCCCTCGTGCACCTTCGCCTCTCCTCCCCCAAACTCCTCAGCCATCGGCCGTCACAATTACAACCCCAACCGACAGGAAGCGCCCGGCAGGAATCTCTCCTGGCACGGAACATGGCGCCGAATTGCCTCATGTGGGTTGCTGGTAGAGACCAGCCAGGCGAGGCAATGCTGTGAGTCGGGGCTCGCCTGCTTTACCAGCGCTCGCCCGCGTGGCCACGCTGACGGCGACCGTAGCATGCCGGTGGAGGACCCCGCGACGGGGGAGGTCTTTGCCCAGTGAGCCTATCCGTTTTGTTAGGTGTCTGGGGGGGGCTCGACTCGTCCGTCGGGATACCGGGCGTGCGAATATCTGTATGGGCCTCGACGCTGACCCTCCCCTCCCCTCCCCACCTACCTTCTTACTAGCTGTCATGCTGCCTCCACCTCCGACGTGGAGCGCACCGTCGCCCTGGCCCACGCCGCCTTCAGCTCGGGCACCTGGGCCAGATCGTCCCGTCACCACCGCGCCGATGTTTTGGAGAAGTGTGCAGGCCTCCTTGCCGAGGCCCTGCCCGCGCTTATCGCGGTTGAGGTGCGGCAGACGGGCCGCGCGATTCGCGAAATGAACGCCCAGGTGCCTTCGTTAGTGCGTTGGTTCAAGTATTACGCCTCACTTCTGCGCGTCGAGGAACGGCCCGTGCTTCCGACGAGCGGGAAGCTGCATAACTTTACCGAGCGTCTTCCCCTCGGCGTGGTGGTCCAGATCACGCCCTTCAACCATCCGCTCCTCATCGCCGTCAAGAAACTCGCGCCTGCACTGGCCGCCGGAAACAGTGTTATTGTTAAGCCTAGCGAGTTGACGCCGTTGTCGACATTGCTATTGGGTCCCATCCTCAAGGAGGCAGGCATTCCCGATGGCGTATTTAACGTGTTGCCTGGGCACGGCGTGGTTGTGGGCGAAGCGCTTGCGAAGCATCCGCTGGTGAGGAAAGTAGACATCACCGGAGGGAGTGCTGCTGGTAGGGCCGTGGGGAGGATCGTCGGAGGAAACCTCGCGAGGTACACGGCCGAACTCGGGGGCAAAGCGCCTTTGATCGTGTTTGACAAGGCGGACCTACAGCTCGCCGTCAACGGGATCGTGTTTGGGAGTTTTATTGCCAGCGGGCAGACCTGCATCGCGAGTACGAGAATTCTTGTCGATAATACCATCTTGCCGCAGCTGTTGGACAAGCTAGTATCCAAGACAGAGTCGATTACGCGTCGCATGGGTTCCCCCGGGAATTCGGGATCGATGATGGGGCCGTTGATCTCAGCGAAGCAACTGGACGGCGTTGAGGCATTAGTTGCCGAAGCGATAGAGGGTGGGAAAGCCAAGGCGGTCACCGGAGGGCGCAGGATGCTCGGTACCAGCGCCCTGGACGGGACGGATTTCTCCCAGGGATACTTCTATCCGCCTACCGTCCTTGTTTCGGGGAAGGGGAGCAGCATTCTCAACACGCGTATCTGGCGCGAGGAGGCGTTCGGGCCAGTCATCGTGGTCGTGGGTTTCGACACCGAAGAGCAGGCTGTCGGTCTGGCCAACGACAGCGAGTACGGCCTCGGGGCGGGGATATGGACTCAAGACTTGGCACAGGCTTTCCGTGTCTCGGAGCAGATTCATTCCGGCATCATCTGGGTGAATACCCATCATCGTAACGATCCTAGTAGCCCGTGGGGGGGCTCGAAGCCGTCGAGCGGTGTCGGGAGTGAAAATGGCATGGATGCCTACCATGCATATACGACGATAAAGAGCACGATCATCAACTACGCATCTACCGAGGAATCTCTTGCCGCCGACGATTGGTTCCGCGAAGGGGGAACCGCAGTGCGATATGGCTAAAGGTCATACACAGGACGATAGCACAGTCCCAAATGCCAAACGCAGAATTGTGCTACTGTTCTCTGAGCCTCTCTCCCTCTGCGTAAATCATTTCAAACGGTTCCTAGGTATAGGTAGGCATGCACATTGGTATCCTAGCTGACTAGGCGCTTTTTCGCACACCTAGCTTCGTGCCTAGGCCTCGAGAAAGAGACAACTAGGTGTGATATCTGAATAGGCAATACAGCTGAGCGTTGCTTTTCTGCAAGTTAGAGCACGTGCCTAGGCGCCCTGAGATGAAGCGACTTGAAGGGACCGGCGATTCTGGACATCAGTTTGGACGGCCGTTTGGTATAAATAATATTCTCTTTGTATAGGGGCATGTGGCGGCGCGGCTAACTCAAGGGGTACCTGCGACCGCGTCGGTTTAATGGAAGCTGTTAGAAACTTTTATTTAAATGAATTAAACTCCCTACTTTATATTAAGTATTATCTTTACTCTCTTTACAAGTAATAGAGCTTTTAAAAATATATATCTTTAACTATAGTAAGAAAGTATACTTAGCTAAGTTTATTCAAGTTAATTTTTACTTTAAAAAATGCTATATTGTAAAAAAATAAATAGTAGTAATACAGTAGTACTAATATAATAATAGTAATATAATAATAGTAATATAGTAATAGTAGTATCATATTAATAATATAATAGTAATAATATAGTAATAATATTTCCGGTACCTCGTAGCATGTACATAAGACGCAGGTACTTCGCCTTAGGTCTGTATGAGCAGGGCAGTTATGGCGCAATCAGAGAGCCGGGTGAGGCCCGCTAGGAGAGGTACCCCAGGTAGATTGCTATCCCGAAGCCCTCATAACAATCCTTCGTGACGGATTTCCTAGCATGCCCTGCACCCTAAATTTACATTACATCTCCATCCTCACTACTGGGCCTGCGTGGCGCCCGGGGCTCTCCCTTTGTTTAGGCCGTTGGGCCGTCGCTGGCAAAAACAAGCCCGACCGAAGACACGTGAGGAGTCGGAGAAATCTGTCTCCACCACCTTGGCAGCAGAGAACCCCGCTCCACCCCCTCCCTCCCCCACTCCCTCTGGGGAAATACGTGTCAGTTACGGGAAGACATGCCCAGACACTTACTCGTCGGGCAGAGGGCAAGCGTTCGGTAGCATCGCTAATCGATCCCTGTCGTTTCTCCATTCGTGCTGGGGGAGGAGGAATCGTGGCCTGGTAGGTAGGTAGGTAGGTATATATGGCCGAGGGGAGCGAGCAAAAGCAGGCTGTTGGGCGTGGATTACGCCGACTTTCCGCCTCCGGCCCCGGCCCACTCGGACCCCGATGCTGTGAGTGGCCCCAGTATAAAAGGCAGCGATCTTATTACCTAAGCCCTCTCGATCCCTAGCTCATTTCACCCTACCTCTTGAGAACGCTCAGAGGTAGAGAGGTACCCTAGCGGTAGAGGCCCACGATGCTATCTCCCACGTACCTCGATTACTCTGTTGCGGGAAAGGGTCGGCAGCGTTATCATCCTCCTTAGGCCCCAGCTCGTGAGCCCATCCGGCTGCTTCTCGACGTCCTCGTCGTACCATGATGCCCGCGTCTCAGCTAGGACTCTACTATATATCTCACCCTTGGGACCCGCTCCGCGTTCCGCGGACGTCGGCCGTCTACCTAGCGTATACCTAGGTGTGTACTGTACGGGTCTAGGGCAGAGTGGCCCAGGGGGGATGCCGATGATGGACTACGGGGGAAGAGACAAACCGATGCGGGTCTCTCGACGTATTGGCCGGCATACACGGCGTTAAGAATGCCAGGATGAACACGGGTGAACTACGAAGCCGCCTTGCACCTCTCGCTGTCCCGCCGCTAGGCATCATGACGGCCATGTAGGAATAGTAATACTAGTATAAAATGCTCACGAAAGAACGCCAGCTTACGGTCGAACCCTGTTGTTGCCTTCTGCCTGCCCACTGCACACATCACACATCTACTTTACCAGTGTCTGGAAGAGTGCTCTAGCCTTAGCTCCTGTCTCTGTCCTCCAGACGCCTATTTCTGGGCGTGCGTGGACCTCTCTCTCTCTCTCTCTCTCTCTGTCTCTCTCTTTCTCTCTCTCTCTCTTACTCTCTTCAACCTAGAACTCGACGCAGAATAATGGGCGAGCCGATCACGCCTATCCCCGAGCCGCCGGGTCTGCCATTCATCGGCAATGTTGCCGAAATCGACCCTACGTCTTCCCTCCAGTCCTTCCAGAGGCTCGCCGATAGATACGGCGAGATTGTTCGGATACGTATCCCCGGGCGGTCTTTGGTCCTTCTGTCCTCGCACGCCCTGGTCAACGAGGCCTTCGACGAGAAGCGATTCAAGAAGAGACCCAGTACCGTGCTGAGGGAGATCCGGGAGGGCGTACACGATGGACTGTTCACGGCATATCTCGAGGAGCCCAACTGGGGCATTGCTCATCGGGTCCTGATGCCTGCTCTCGGACCTATGGGTGTTCGTGATATGTTCGACGAGATGCACGATATCGGCTCGCAGCTGGCTCTCAAATGGGCGAGACACGGTCCTGATCAGCAGATCAACGCGCCCGACGATTTCACCCGCCTCGCGCTAGACACCGTTGCGCTTTGCTCGATGGGGTTCCGGTTCAACAGTTTCTACTCCGAGAACTTGCATCCCTTCATCAACTCCATGGCCGAGTTTCTTACAGAGTGCGGCCGGCGGTCTCAGCGGTTACCCCTCCCGTCACTCTTTTTCCGAAGCCAGAATCAAGCGTTCCAGCATCACATCGGCGTGCTTCGCGCCACGGCCGAGGCCGTTCTTAAAGAGCGTGTTAACGACCCCACCAACAGCCGGAAGGATCTCCTCACGGCCATGTTGAAGGGGCGAGATTCGCTCACTGGAGAGAAGATGACCGACTCATCGATTATCGACAACTTAATTACCCTCCTGATTGCCGGGCACGAGACCACGTCCGGAACCCTCTCTTACGCCATGGTGAGTTGTTCCCTGGGACCGTTCGGCCTATTCCTAAGCCAAAGGGCATCCCTACTCGACCCCGACTCGACCTGACTCTCTTTGCTGATATCCCACACTCGTAGCACCGTCTATTAAAGTCACCCGAGACGTATCGGAAAGTGCAACAGGAAGTGGACGAAGTCGTGGGAAAAGGCCCTGTCACTGTGGAGCATATGAGCCAGCTTCCGTACATTTCTGCTGTTCGTTACACCCACCCGAGCGGATGAGCCCATCTGCGAGCACGGCGATACTGACCGGTCTAGGTTCTTCGGGAAACGCTACGCCTGGATTCGCCTATCCCGTTCTTCGGTGTCACGGCCAAAGAGGACACAGTACTCGGCGGCAAGTATATGGTGTACGAAGGGGAGTGCTGCCTCGTGCATCTCGCTAAATCACACCTCGACCCTACGGTTTTCGAGGATCCCCTCTCCTTCAAGCCAGAAAGAATGCTTGATGAGAATTTCAAGAAGCTGCCGAAAAATGCATGGAAGCCCTTCGGGAACGGTGTTAGAGCGGTAAGCAGGAGTCCCCTACTCCCTAAAACTTCCCGCGTCTTTGCTAACCCTCGCATTCCACAGTGCCTCGGAAGGCCATTTGCCTGGCAGGAAGCTGTCCTTGCTATGGCCATAATCTTCCAGAGTTTCAACTTCGTCCTGGCTGACAACGACTACGAGCTCCACCACAAGCAGACGTTGACTATCAAACCCAACAACTTCTACATCCGAGCTATACTCCGGGATGGACTCGACCCGACCAAACTTGAGCACCGGCTAGCTGGTACTGAAGCCGCACCCCGGAGGCTGGCCGCTCGTGCGGAGAGTAGCGCTCCGAAAAATCAGGATCAATCGATGACCATCTTGTACGGCTCGAACAGCGGCACGTGCGAATCCATGGCGCAACGGTTGGCCTTTGACGCTGCTTCGCGTGGGTTCAAAGTCTCTACCCTCGACTGCATGGATGCAGCCGTCGAAAAGCTTCCCAAGGACGAGCCCATCGTCATCATTACTGCCAGCTACGAAGGAGAGCCCCCTGACAATGCCGCTCAGTTTGTTTCGTGGGTATCTAGTATTGAGGAGAAACTAGCGCTCCGTGGGTCCTCCTACGCAGTCTTTGGATGCGGCCATCATGACTGGTCGCAGACGTTTCATCGCATCCCCAAGCTCATGGATGGGAAGCTTCACGACCTGGGTGCGGTGAGGATCGCCGAGATGGGTCTGGCGGACGCAGGTAAAGATGAGATGTTCATCGTTTTCGAATCCTGGTTGGATAACGTAAGCCTTCCCTCCCACTCTTCTCAGCGTGTGGTGTAGGTTCAGTACTGACAAATTTAGACGTTATGGCCCTCCTTGGACAAACTGGGGGCCAGCAAGGGGCAGGTGGCGCCGCTGAGCACCCGAGGAAGTTTGCTGAAAGTCACGGTTTTGAACAACCGCTCGTCGATGCTCAGGCAGAACGTGAGAGAGGCGAAAGTCACGGCCGCCCGACAGCTCACCGCAGACGGCGAGCCGCTGAAGAAACATATCGAGATACAGCTCCCCGCTGGTGCTACTTACCGGTCCGGGGACTACCTCACGGTCCTGCCCATCAACCCTGCGGAGACTGTGCAGAGAGTTATGCGGAGGTTTGAATTGCCGGTAACGTAGCCATGTACCTACAATGTGACTTCGTAGTTCGGCGTATCGCTAATTTGAGGACGACCTACAGCGAGATGCGAGCATTAAAATCGAAGGGACCGGGATCAGCCTTCCCACAGACGAGTTGATCTCCGCCAACAGCATCCTCGGCGGATTCGTCGAGCTCTCGCAGCCAGCCACAAGAAGGAACGTACTTGCGCTAGCCGATGGTACGGATGACGAGGGCGATAAAAAAACGCTGAAGAACCTGGCAACGGACGCCTTCGACACCGAGGTAATCGCTAGGCGAGTATCGGTGCTCGACCTACTGGAGAAGTTCCCGTCGGTCAACATACCTCTGGGGCAATTCCTGTCCATGCAGCCGCCGATGCGCGTCCGCCAATAGTAAGTCGCTCCTATCCTTTGTTACGCGAGGCGAGTGAGTCCTTGGCTTACGGCTCCTCTCCCAGTTCGATCTCGTCGTCCCCTCTGGAGGACCCCTCGATCGCCTCCGTCACATTTTCCCTGGTGTCGGGGAGAGCAAAGTCGGGACAAGGAGACCACGTCGGCATCGCAAGCTCGTTTCTGGGCAGTCTCCAAGCTGGTGACATGCTCCAAGTGTCAGTCAGACCGGCCCATTCGGCTTTTCACCTGCCAGCAACCCCCGACAAATCGCCGTTGATCCTGGTAGCCGCCGGGAGCGGGATTGCTCCCTTCCGCGGATTCATTCAGGAACGCGCCACGATGATCAAGTCTGGCCGCAAGGTGGCCCCAGCCGTGTTGTATCATGGGTGCCGGAGCCCCGGGGGGGACGACTTGTACGCGGACGAGCTCAAGGACTGGGAGCAAGCCGGTGCGGTGGTGGTTAAACGAGCTTTCAGCAAGGCCTCGGAGAAATCGGGCGGCTCCAAGTACGTTCAGGACGTCGTCTGGGCCGACCGCAAATATTTCCTCGAGCTCTGGGGGAAGGGCGCACTGCTATATGTCTGCGGGTCGCGAAAGGTCAGCCACGGAGTCGAGGAGACGGTCCTTCGGATACAGAAAGACGCTGCGGAGGAAAAGGGCGAAGATTTCAACGACGAACAAGCGAAGAAGTGGTGGGACGAGCAGAGGAATGTCAGGCATGCCACTGATGTGTTCGACTAGAGCGCTCGTGCTATATTAATTATGCGGGAGCGGAAAAGAAGGAGAAGAGGCTAGAATAAAGGAAAGATGCGAGGAGTTGAAATTATTATTATTATTTTTTGGTTTTTTTTTAGCGGGCATTCTAGCATTCATCTATACTCGTTTATTTGCAAGTGATCTTGTTGCAAACCTATGCAATGGAGCCATAGAAGACAACAATATAGCTAGGAGGTAGGTAGATAGCCAAGCGGATCTGATAGCTGTGCAGTATTACTAGGTAATAGAAAAGAAGCTGATAGAACCGTTTTCCTCCCCATTCCCCCCTCCCAGAGCCGCACCGGGCTCCAATGGCTGGATCGCGCACGCCTCCATCTTTTCGGGCTTGACACGTGTATCCCGTAGGTATCTCGTAGGTACGGTGTCGCGCAGGCGTAGAATATTGCTTTGCCCAATTTCTTCTCGCTTGGGTTTCACTATTACCTCCTTTCTCATTGCTACCAGTCGCATGCGAAATATTCCACATAAACATTTCTCTCAGCTCATTCTCTCTCTCTCTCTCTCTCTCTCTCTCTCTCTCTCTAGGTATATATCTTCCTAGCACCCTTCCCCGCCCGCCCCATTTCATGATCCCTTCCATTGATGGCAGCATCGGCACCGTCAGCCTCTTTCGGGATGTTCGTGCTCTCGCCCATTGCTCCCTACGCCCTCGGCACCGCCTTCTTGGGGAGCGGGCTTCTGTCCGTCTTCGCACCACGAAAAGAACACGCTCGCATTGGCCTGCCGCTTGAGTCCTGTACCGCAATCGCCCCTTCGACTGCCGATCCAGCCCGTCTTATCCCGTCGCCACTCGTCTACTTTAAGGGCATCCGCGAAATCACATACGGCCTGTTGCTGCTGACGTTGCAGCAGCAGGGCAACGAGGATGGCGTTACAGCAGTGGCAGCGGTCTTATCGCTGGCGAAGTTCGGGGACGGCCTGGTGGTCTGGTTCAACGGTGGAGATGATCTCAGAGGGAGGGCTCTGGGCCATTGGCTAATGGGTGCGAGCTTCCTCGGATGGGTGTTCTGGAGATGGAGTGTTTAGACGTCCATATCCGATAGCTGGTATCGGCGTCGTGTGCGGTTGGGCAGGCAATCTATCACTGGCCCGAAGGAACGAAGAAATGCAGGTATACCATATTACCTCCTATATACCTACCTACTGATCCCATCTTACGGAGATGCTCTGGGTTCGTTCCGCCGTGCCGCCCTGTCTACGGCCATCTATAGGTCGTCTTAACCTGGTATAATACTCTCCGATATTACGAAATAGGTAATACTCCGCATGTCGTAGGAATGCTACAGGCAGGTAACTCCGTAAACGGTCCCAGGACATGATGGCCTTGGTCAGGCTTACTCTCACGTATTATCACTTTTCCTTGGCCAACATTTCTACGTCGAAAGCACCATTTTAAGCCAGAATAGATAGATCTCCCATTTAGTGGATCACCCATCGTGATAGGAACGCAGCGAGCGACCCCGACTCGCGCTCTGGGACCTACGAGATGGCGCCGGGACAGCAGCCAATGCACGTATTGATTATCGGTGCTGGCATTGTCGGCCTTACCATTGCTCAGGGATGCCGCGAAAACGGGATCCCATACACGATATTTGAAAAAGATACACAAGGTACCTAGTATTACTACCGGTCTAGGATGCGAACCAACCAACTACGGTGCGATATATACTGACGCGACGAGACGTTGGCCAGGGAGTCGTCCTCAGGGTTGGGCTCTGACCTTACACTGGTGCCTAAATCCGTTGAAGAGAACGATCGGAGCCGAAGCTGCGGCGGCACTGCCTGCTGTGAGTGAAGCAACCTCTCCCTGTTGTCCGGCTCCAGCTAACACCGGAAAGGCTGTGGTAGATAGATCGCTGAAGAGTGATAGCGGTAACTTTTTATTCCTCAACTGCCAGACCGGGTATGTTAGAAGCCGCTGCAAACTATTATAGGATGCCACTATTCATAATATTGAAGCGACGTTCGTTACAAGATACCCCCCTCGAAGAATCGACTCCGGCTGCATCGTCAGAGGCTCAGGGATGTCCTTACCGCTGGCATCGAGATCCACGAACAGAAGAAGCTCGTGTCTATAGAGGAGACTGACGATGGGGTGGAGGCACATTTCGAAGATGGAACCTCCGCAGCTGGTACCTTGCTCATCGGGGCGGACGGGAGCAATAGCAATGTCCGCAAGCACCTGTTGCCGAATGCCTACGCTCTCACCCCCCTGCCGGTTAGCCTCATCGGCGTCACCCGGCATCTCAGTCCAGAGCAAGCTGCGCCGATTCGGGCTCTGGGCCCGCTACTGTTCCAAGGGTTAGACCCCAGCACTGGGAACTTCCTCTGGTACAGCATCCAGGTGAGCCTGCCATCCCCGACGGTGATTCCGTTCGAGGGACTGTTTCTGACAGCCCAGTAGGACTCGCATGAAGAGATGCATGGCCAGGCCTCTTTTGATGCACAGGTTATCATCTCTTGGATCGTGAAAGATTCCCTTTTGGATGCTATCCCAGAGACGGATAAGGGGCGTGTCGAAATGATGAAGCGGAGAGCGGCCGCATTTGCGGAGCCGCTCCGAAGCATCGTGGCGGATATTCCGGACGACCTCACCCCCACCACTGCCCTCAAGCTGGCCGATTTCCCCTGCCGTGAATGGGACAATCGAAATGGGCGTGTGACCCTCGCGGGAGATAGCGCCCATGCCATGACAATGTATCGTGGGGAGGGCGCCAACCATGGGATTCTCGACGCGGCGTTGCTGGTAGATCAACTCAAGAAAGTGCACCAGGGAGAAATAAGCCGGGAGGATGCCGTGGACATATATGAAGCTGAGATGAGACCCCGAGGTCTTGCCGCCGTCCTGAAGAGCCGTGATGCTGCACTGATCGCCCATGATTGGGATGCCATCACGGAAGACTCCCCAATTGTCGGAGCAAGACTCCCGCCTCCTACCGCGTAAGACCGTGTGGTTTCTTCCCCTATTATTGCGGGACGTGGCTGGAGGGGCGATTACTATTCTGGTTACATGTCACATCTGAACGGGGAGTTGTATAACCCACCCGAGGCCAGATGGAGAAGGAGGAGAGAGAGAGTCGGAATCATAGCCATCATTCAGCTGAAGTATTGCAATAACAGCACTTGGGGGATGTTCATAGCTGGTGATTATTACATCCTTGCATTGTCTATCGCAGGATGTTACAAGTTAGCTGCATACATCATGTCGTCCCCCCAGGTCTTCGGGAAAAGGACGAAAACGGTTCTAATCCGTGTTTCGGTATTCATGAATCGATCGTAGGACTCGATAAAAGCTCGGAAGAAGGGACTTGTAGTCTTGCGAAGGTCTTCGTCAGGAGCGTAATCATCCCCGATCGGGAAGTCGTCCGAAAATATGCTCGTTCTTGGGTCATCAAGAGGCTCAGGCTCTTCAGGCCGTTTCCATATCGCCTGGCCGAAGACGGGACCATATTCGGGTCGTGCTGGATAGAGGAGAACAGGAGTCCGGTTTGGACCGTCTTGCGCTGCCTTTTGGGACACTGGGCCTTCTCCGGAGCGTGCTTTGGGCTCGTCATGGCATCGGCTGTTCCCCTGGCCCGCCTGGGGGGTGACCGAAGGGTTGGGATCGTTGTCGTTCTGAGACATGACGCTGTGGATAGAGATGAAGAAAAACACAATGGAGCGGGAGAGGTGGCAAGCGACGATACGATTCCGGCGGCGGCTATGTAGTGATGGCTGCGTGGTTGAATGCAGCGTGAAGGAATGGGAGCCCTACCACCCCTCCCGGGCATGACCTACGACTGATGGGCGCCAGAGCTCCGCGTTCCCTGCTCATCTGGTAGAGGAGGAGCTTCTGGTACAGCTAAACGATGCGCGTCCCGAGCTGGCCTCGTAATCCGTTGAAGGCCGGTCCGGCACGCTCGTCGAGGAAGAGGTCCACCAGGTTCCAGTGCCAGTCCATCCTCGACACGACGTAGGAAAGGCCCTTTCAGTTGATGCCCGGCTCAGTGAGGGGGTTCGAGAGCACTTGGTGCTGTTAGCATGCGACGCGGGGCGGGTGGAAGACTGACCTCCAGGGCGGAGCTGACGCCGACCCAGGCAATGGCAGCTTCCGGGGAGGTCTGGACCGCCTTGCCCACTAGTCCCCTCACGATGCTGACTGTCTGGACGGCGTCGCCAATCTTCTGCTTGAGGGCCGCTTATCTGGCCGTCTTCTGCGGTCCGACCCGGACGAGGCGCTCCATCAGGTGCCATCTCTGCTCCGGCTCGATCTCGTTTGCGGTCGATAGAAACTTCTCGTATGCTGTGACTATCTTGGGTTCGTCCGCCTTGGGCTCATCGTACGCCTGGTTCCGGAACCGCGCCTGGAGGTCTGCTGAGGAGGGCTGGGCAGCGACAGCGGGCTGCGGCGTGTTGGCCGGGGAGGGGAAGCGATGGGGGGAGGTCAGTGGTGGGCTGCGGCTAAACATCCGCCGCCATCGAGACTCCATGATGTTTGCTAACCGCGACGACAACACGGTAGGAAAGTCTCAGGCCAGAGGTCTGCGACTCGCCGACAGCGTTAGGTATCCGGAAGGAGCGCCATTTTGTGCTGGTGCGGAGAAGCATAGCTGGAGCTGGCTGTCGCTGCAGGTTAGCAGACGAATATAACGGCGATACAGCGCATCAGGCTGCCGAGGGAGCATTACTGATGTCGAGTCGTGGCCCAGCGAGTTTGTTCAGAGCGCGTCGGGCGGCTGGGGCGGCCTGGTGGGCCTGATTGGTCCCGGGTGTCCGTGCTCGGCGTCTCGGAGGCGTCACCAACCATCACGCAGCAAACGTGTGATGCCACGACATTGCCCGACTTCCCAGCAGCCAGCGCTCCTGGAAATGAAGGGCTCTGATACCGTAACGTTACCGGGGCGGCAGATGCCCATTGAGGCAATGCCGCTCTAGGCGGCGGATAGCCTCAAGCGCGACGCCCGTCTCAGGGCTCGTGAGCCTGCGGTAAGCCTAACTGTCAGTCAGTCGTAGCAGGAGCGACGAGAAGCACGCGAGCGATTTGGGGAGCCTGCCATATCGTTCATTCCATCACTTTCTGGGGTGCTGCCCACCCCTTCGCCTGCGATCCGCCTGTACGTCGCTCGCGACCCCTACATCATTGCCGTCGCAGGTGGTGACGCCCAGCGTATGTCAGATATCTGTGCTATTTCAAGGCACCTCCCTGCTTTTGGCCAGGGAAGAGCGAGGATCACCGCTGACACACGCCTCACCTTCCCTCCGACCCTTGTTGAAGCATATATAAATTTGACCGACATCCCCAACCCCCTCTGTCAAGTGTGGTTATTGTCTGTCTTCCAGAGACAGAAAATCTCAGCTCGCCCCCATTTCTTGTCCTGATCGCCATCAACCATGTCATCCTCTAGGGGGGTCCTTCGCTTCCTCAGGACTATCCAAGTCATGAGGCTCTATGAGACTTATATCAGCCGTGCCAGCCCGACTCAACTGTCGCTGCTGGAGTCCGCCGTGTCCTCGCCACAGAACAACAAACACTACAACGGCCAGGACGATGTTTTTCAGCTGGCGGGAATCCTTGCAGAAAAAATTATCCGGAACCATGCTTACCAGGACGGAAACAAAAGGACTGCGCTCCTGGCGGCAGACATGTTCCTGAAGATCAACGGATTCCAGTTGCAGAAAAAACCTTTTGACAGAGATGAGGTCAATGACGGTCTGAAGGATGCACACTTGGCGGTCGCGGCGAATCGATGGACTGCCGGCAACCTAGCAGAGCACTACAAAGGCATCGCGAAGCCTGTCAGCAAAATATGCCGCGAAATTCGACAATACGTCAAGGAGTCTGAGGAGTCCTGATGGTGTTTGCCGCCTAGTAACTGAGGCCGTTCGACACAAGCAGCAAGGGAGCGGTATCTAACATCTTTAGCAAGCGAAAGGGTGGCGGCAGCGGCAATGGCTAGCTGTAAGAAACGGGACTTCATTAGGTTCGATTGCAGGAATGATGGACAGCCGTAACAGAGATAGGTCGGCGTATCAGACCCGGCAGTTACAATATAGATTTCTAGCCCATATACCGCGTGATACTTCTACGTGTGCTTGAGCGCCTCCAACGTGTCCTTGAGCTCCTCAGCGCTATCCCTCGATGCCCGTTCAAAGTCTTCTAAAAGGAAGGTTAGATCTTCAGAGTAGAGCACCGAGATCTAGACACTTACCGTCGGGGGTCCCATCAAGTGTTAGGGCATGCCAATTACCCGATAGCCAAAGCGTGGCCGGGCTGGTATCGCCGGTATTCTGGCGAGGAAGGTTCTGAGTGATCTCAAGCCGGGGATAGGGTACAGCCTCTGGAATGTATCAGCAGAGGTATCATGGAAAATATCACGAGGGAACGAACTGTGAGCAAAATAAAGTGATTTGTGGTTGAAATCCAGTGAAAGTTTCTTCAAATCTTGTACAAGTCCCATTCCCGTCTGCCGCGTGATTGAGGATCTAATTGCGTTGCTGATATCCGGCTCAATATAAACATATGCTTCGTGTGGCTCGCCGATCCGGATCTCGGTTTGGGATGCAACCGGGAGCCCATCGTCATCGATGGTTATGAATTGCGCCTTTGCACAATGGAAAGGGCGACGGTGAGGGACTTGGGCGTTTACACGCCTCATAAGACCAGGTCTTGGTCGGGGGAAATAGCGGCACACTCGCATTTTGTGTGAAGGCCTGACGATGTAGCAATGGTAGAAATACGATGAGGTTGAGAGGAGGGTCGGCCTGCGCAGGCAGCCACGAGTTAAGTGGCTTTAAGAGCGCTGTCGGATAAATACATAACCCGTTCCATCTATTATACTAAAATTAAATATGTTCAGAATCTAAAAGTAATATAATATATGTTTATATATAGAATGAATAGTTATAATATGTTGAATTTCTTCTTATGCTATATTACGTAAATCAAGGAAGCTACGTATAGCAAGAGTGTGTGTAAAAAGCTATCTTATAAGCAACTAGAGCAAAAGCAAAAGAAAGAAAAAGGTCTTGTTTCATTTCAAAACTAACTAAAGGAATGAAAGCAACGAGAGCGTATATATAAAAGCTTTTATTGTTGAGGTAAGCAATAGGGAAAAGCAACTTAAGGAGCTATCTATACATAATATACTAATTAATTACTAGTTAATTACTTTTATAAAATTGCTTTATTATATTCCTATAAACAACTCTATAAATACGTTATTATTTAAAGGATACTCTGTTTTTGTTAGTTAAAAAACCTATTATAGATTACTAAAATAAGTATATTTAAATAAAATAACGTAATTAATAAAGTTTTAAACTTTTTTTATTAAGTATATTCTTATTATTACTTAAATCCCTTATATATATTATTATAGTACGGTAAGACATTCCCTCCCGGTACATTACGTAATATACTACGAAGGGCAATCTAGGATATCCGTACCTATATGAGACGGCCAGCTGGAAGGCTTTGATATAAGAGCAAGAGACCAGCAGTAGGTGAACGGTATTTGAAGAGTATCCGCCAACCCGGGCCCTTCAGAGGTTGGCACGGGCTCCAGGTCTAGTGATTTCCTCCAGCTGTTCACTACGTCCCCTAATCTAGAGGATGAATTAGCTAGTTAGCAGGGCCCCCCTCCTTACATTCCGGCGGTTAGGGTGCGTACCCTTGCCAAGTTATCCATTCCACGGCTAGGTACGAGATGCTATTTGCGTAGCCAACTGGCACCGCGGAATTCTCAAGATTCATGTTGGTCAACGGATGTGGGAAAGCTTTGGTGGCGGTCCAAGGCATAGTGGACATTAGGTGCTACGGAATTCCTAGCGCCTCGACACAATGGATATGGGCAAAGCTCGGAGGATTCGCGATAATGGCGTCGGCGAGGAGCGGGTGCAAGGTAACGGGGTCTGGCTTGATACAAGAGCTCCAGCATCCTCTCAAGATGTCGGCCACCATCTTCCTCTTCTTCAGAACGTCTCTTGCTCGTAAGCTCTTCGTACTCGGGATGAGCCCAGGATTTTTAACCATGTATGCCACCAGTTCCGCCAGATCTCCGCCGATGGGATAAAAGTCGAGCCCAGCACTCCGGACAAATTTGGCAAAGGTGTCGTGCGTGGCCAAGCGGACCCGATGGCCTTGACGAAGGAGCGTGGCACCGAGGGCGACGAAGGGCTGAACATCGCCACGGCTCCCGACCACCTGGGTGACAATATTCAGCTTGAGGTTAAAGGGTCGACGTTCGAATTTCTCGTAGGGAGGTGGGCTGTTACGAGGCAGCTCCCTCGAAAACCCGTCTACAACCCTCGAGAGGGTTTTAAACAATCTCGAGCGAACGTCGAGCTCGATCCGGCCATCGTCTACCAGAAACTGTGTGGGCTGAACCGCGTTACCGTGAGATGATTTAAAGCCGTCAAGGGTATGCCATTACCTCCAACCGTAGGCGTGCCGAAGTTGATACCGTCTGCCACATGGTCCTCTAATTCCGACGACGAGCAAGCATGTAGCGATGACCTGACGTTAGGGCCGCGTGGCTCATCCATGGCCTACCCCAGATCCTGAAGCGGGAAAACAGAGAGACGAGAAGAAAGAGCAGGGCAATATCCAATCGCCGCGCGCGGAGAATGGTGAATATGAGGCGCGCCCCCATGGAGGAGATGTCGGGGGGGGGATTTAAGACTTAAGTAGCCAAATATCCGCGAGGCCAACTCCTGAATCGGCGAAAGGCAAAAAGGGGGCACTGACAGAGGGTCGAAGCGACGAGAAGCTACGCAGGGAGCGTCGATAGAGCTTCGAAGGGAGATGGCAAATAGCAGCTACTCGTCGGCGGCGTTAATGTCGATGTAGGTGAAAGTGACTGCACGGCCTGGGCGGACCGAAGTAGGGGTCGTGATGGACCTCTCGACTCATTCCGGCCGGGGGGGGATGTATACGAGGCGACGCGTGGGACTGACAGCGAACGTTCACGACATCTCCTGGTAGCTCGGAGCCTGTTTGGCTGCAATCCGGGCAATGCGTCTTTCCCACGGCTCATTTTCGAACCCTCAAATGGGAAATTCGGCATTAGAGAGCGACTCGCGTCGCGCGACCCCAGCCAGGACGGAATCCGCTGGGACTGGCGCTACGGGAGGACGAAAAGTGCCGGCAGGCCAACCGTCCCCGTATGCAGACGAGGCGTACTGCCAGCTAAAATCCGAGATGTTCGTATAGACACTCGCGTTATTCGGATTCGGATGGTGGTGCGGGTTGCACGAAGACGAAGCGAAAGGGCAAAGCCGCCATTATCTTCCCCACCAGATCGAGAGAAGAGTGAAAAGAGTGAGCCGGGGGCGAGATGCGTCAGCTCATTATTATATAATAACCGTCGCGTAGTTCGCCGGGAGAGTTCTGTCTCTTTTCTTTTTCTTCCCCCTTTTCTTCCCCCTTTTCTTCCCCCTTTTCTTCCCCCTTTTCTTCCCCCTTTTCTCCCCCCTTTTCTTCCTCTTCTTTCCTTAGCTTTCGATTGGGAGCTTGGGAGGTGCCTAGCACGGTAAAGAGGTAGGGGTGCTATTAGGTATTTATCTAGGTACCGTAACCTTTCCATCTTGCTCTCAGAATTTATGAGTGCAACCAACTGCGATGCTGGCTCGGCTCGGCTCGCGAAGTCGCAGCCAGAAAGATATCCACCGACAACATCTTGGGGGGTCGAAGGCATTCGGGATGTGAACGCTTCAATCGCGTACCTCTAGATAGGTAGGTACACTACGTAGTATCTCCGTTGACTTGATCTAGACGACGATCAAGGAGCCAGCACGGGTATGCGACGAGGCGGGTATTGCGTATGCGTCACGGCGGATGGAACCAAGAATTTACATGCGTACATATATGCTACTCATGTAGCAACCTACCTACCTAGACAACACCCACCATGCCGATTATTGTAGGCATCTTGTCTGATGGCGCATGGGGCCTCCTAGAGCCGACAACAAGGGGAGACCTCAGGTTGGTACCTCACCTCACATGCGAAATTTACGAACACCATCCGAGAACACCATCCGTGTTCCCGGGTGCCCTTTGACGCGGAGTTACGCAACACTCTCGTCCGTAACCCCATCACCTAGGAGTCAAAGCGCACCGGAGGCTTGTAAACCAAATACATAGTTGCCATGTGATGTGACGCGAGGAGGTAGACCAGCGTACTCGAGTTCATTGTGCATGTACGTAGCACGTTGCCGAGCCGGTATCCTGCCTACCTACAAAAAGCCGTCCGGTGTCCCATCATCCCAAGCCATGCGAAATATCACCTATACCAGTACAAGATCGATTGACCATATCCCTACGGCGGCCTAGAGGAGAAGGTAACCATGGGAAAGGGGTCGTTCATTCTTAGGAGCGAATGCCTAGCCCTACGGCGGACCGCCCTTCGCCCATTACTGGTAACCTATCCTGACTCTCATGGCCTGAAGATACTTCTAAGGGGTAGCCCCCAGTACCAACCCGCCGCAACCATGGCGCTGACACTTATAATAAATGCCATGAGGAAATTGACCTGATTATTGTCCAACAAGTCCAATCCGCTCTCGGCTACCCGCGTAGGCTTCATATCGCCAAAGTGGGAGCTGCGGTGCTTGTCCTTCGGATCGTACGGATCGCCAGCCGGTGAGGTTTTCACCTCGGCGGCGGGAGTGGACCGCTTCCTGACAGGGCTACCTCCTCTGTGGAGGATCTGGTCTGTAATGACGGCTATCGTCTTCTCGGGACGCTCGTGGGTGAAAGGATCAACATCGCCGGATGCGATGACGCGAACACCGCCATCCCCCTCGACGATCTTCCCAGACCGCACGTCCCGTACGCTCCGCTGGAACCAACCTCCTAGGAAGCTGTCCAAAAGGCTACCGAGCGCTCCCCAGAGGGTCAGACCTAATGCTAGCGTGGCCTTCCGGCTGAGGGTCCAGCTACCGCCACCGCTGAATTTTCCCTGGGTATCCTCGCCGCAGAGCGGAAGGAAAACCAGAGAAGCTGTCACAATTATCACAGAGCCGAGAAGGCCGGCGACCAACCCCCAAAGCGTGACGCCCCCATTCGTCCCCCTCGGCACCTTTCTCAGCGAAAGAGAGGTGATCAGCCTCGGAGGGCTGCTCGACAAGATACCGAGCTCGGAGGAGAAGGTGTCAGCACAGACAGCGGCGTAGTTGGCGATGATTCCGACGACGAGAAGGTCGCCGCCCCATTGATAGCAGGAGGAGCCCTCCGAGGATTCTCCGCGCGAAACGGCGGCGTCGCGCCGCAGGCGCAGCTGGTAGGCGTGCAGGAGGGATAGGAGAGAGGCTGCGAGCGAGTTGGCGAGCACCTGCACATGAGTCCTCGGGCCCTCGGCGCCAGAGCTGCCCTGGGAGTTCAAGGTCAGGCCGGCCTTGACATCGGCCTTGATTTTGGTCACCCGGGTTCCGGCGAGGAAGAAGACGCAGAGGAGGACGAAGGGCAAGTTCCAAGGGTGGACGGCATGCGCCGCAGCGGTCAGGGCGGCCGCGACGATGCCAAGTGGCGTCAGAGATTTGTGAGCGTAAGCTCGATAGACGAGCGCGAGGGTCGCGGGGACGGCAATAATCGCCTTCATTCCGAAGAACTCCGAAGAACCAACTCGAGAATCAGATGCTTGAACTGCCCCCCGCCCCCTGTGCTTGACTCCGGCAGATGGAGAGGAATCTGATCGCACGTTGAACCAGGTCGGTTAGGCAGAGGTAGACGGGTAGAAGAGAAGCTGATTTTCCAGGGTAAGCAGCTAGACAGACAGACAGCAGGCGTTATTTGGAGGTGATGCTATGATGTTATAGGTACGGTCAGGTACCCTCTCCTCTCTTTCCCGGATGCCGCATGACGGCACCGCCTGCAAAGAAAGTACTCAGGTGCTTGGGTACTTCCGGCGGGCCCTTGCATCGATGGGGCCGGGTACATTACGCCTAGCACTATGGTCTCTAAGCGCCCCCGACGGGCCGCCGTATAGTAGGTACCTCGCGTAATCTGTCGTGGCCTACAGGGCCAGGTAGGTACCTCCTAACCCCAGGTACACGTGTCCCGACCCCCAACGCAGGCAGGAGGGAAATGACCAGGATCCAGCCAACCTCCTGTCGCGAGTTCTTCAGCCACCCATCAAGAACGGCGTATATACATACCTCCTATACAAGAGATACCTGTAAATACATATTCACGATACCGCCGATGTCCGGCTACCATACTAGGACTTCTCGGAGATATCCGTAAAATAAACAGAAGACTTCGAGAACGGATATCCAGGATAATATATAGAACTAAGCTCTGATTTTATGCCTACCCTAAGCCCTACGAGACACTAGTTGGCGTCGGAGACCCACGACTTTCGCATACGACTCCTACCCACATGAGGAAACGAGACCTGCTCTCCGACGCTAGAAGAGAGGACAACCTTTCCGCTCTATAGAGGAAACCCAGATGGGTTCCAACCGAGGTCCTGGGGGTTGACGAAGTTGACGCTAGATTTGTAGTTCTATCAGCGCGAGTCACCCCAAAGCCTCAGGAATAGATGGTCATTGTACACTTACGAAACAGTTTTGCTCTCTCTCGGTTTGAGTGTGAAATCTTCAGGTAGGTCAACCTCGACAGGGAGGTCTATTGGCACCAACCCTCCAAATGTCTTTCAGTCTCTTGGTGTATCCGCTCGCGGCAAGGAGCCAACCAAGGATCTCTGCGCCGCCAGCGCTCTTGGCTGGGAAGTGGTAGTCGGCATCGCGGGCGCCATTGTTCCTCACGTTTACGGGGTGAGACGCTTGGAAGTGCGCTGTGTCATTCAAGACAAATTATTCGTAGTCGACGGCCGTGCTGTAGTTGACAAGTTGAGCCCGTTGACTGACCCATTCCCGACTTGCGCAACACTAGCCCCGAGGCGGTAGTCAGTATTGGCGCCATCAAACTACGACAATGCTGCCCCGCTGGCGATGATCCTTTTACGCAGGACATGAGCGAAGTCTTCACCGTACACATGGCGACCGCCGAGAGCGCCAATATAGGTATAAAGCCGCTACACCAGCCACATAGGGTGCAGCCATGGATGTCCCGCTCATAATCCCGTATTCTCCGTCGAGATATGTACCAGAGACATTACCACCAGGTACGGCGATATCAGGCTTGATATCTAGGTTATAAGACGGGCCCCACTGCGTAAATGTGTTGGACTTACTACCATCAGGGTCCGCGTAGCCGACCGGGCTTTCTGGGTTAACGGAAAAGTCGGCCGTAACGGTACCGCCGGCCTTAAGAAAGTCGATGATATACGAGTCTGTCTTTACCGCGGCACCGGGAAAGATGGGGCTGTCGAAAGATTTCACAACTCGGATGCCCTGAGCTGATATACCTAAGCCTACCCCTTCGAGTTTTGCCTATGATACTAACAGTTAGCTTGCCCTGGTGAGATATGGAGCAAGGCGTGTCTTCACGTCGGTGATAACCTACGGGGGCATATTCAATAACGTAGGTAGCTCCTCGTAATCGGAGCTACATTGGTGGCGTTGTCGACCGGGAGGCTCAGAGCTTCAGTACCCCCGGCGAAGGGGAGAGCCAAAGAGAAGAGCAAGGATCGCATGCTACCATTCGCAGCTTAAGCTTAGGGCATACGAGGAGCCAGTATAGTCGGCTCCCTCATAGTGAATGAGCGTGATCATCTTTATAGTCATCGCGTGTCGGATTGAGCCGAGATCGGTCGTCTTTTCTTTTGCCGCTCCGTCCCCCATGCGGAGGGAATTCATGATAGGTACGAGATTCTTTCCACCAGTGTCGTCAAACAGGGTCACGGAATGCCTAGAATCCACGACGGAATGGTAAGATGTTACGTTGGCCCGCGGCCTTATAGACACCGATCGGGTAGAGAAAGCGAATGCTAGGTATCCCCACGCATGGGTAGCATTCGCATGCCAAGACGTTGCGTTTACTCAGGGGAAGGATCGGCCACGAGGTCAGATAAGGCACCAGTCCCGCCTCTCCTCGTCGTAACGTCGAGTCGTCTACGTCTCTCGGGTTGGAAACGGGTACAGGCATCGTCGAAGAAATCAGAGAGCCCTATAGAGGTCTGAATCCCGCCCGCCTGGGGTGATTACGGCTACGCGACGCCCCTGGCAGGTACCCAGGTAGGTACGTTCCCGCGATAAGAAGGATGCTTAATAAGAAAGCTTGCTGTGTAACCCTGATAAAGGCGGGAGTGAATTAGGAAGGTGTCGTCATGGGGGGGCGGGCAGGTAGGTGAACGAACACTGCATCTACCCAACACTACTCACTATCTTCGGGTTTCTGTGACAGAAAGCCCATCTCTACATAACACCGCACCATCAGATGCTAGACTCTTCCTAGCGGTCTGATTGGAACTCGGTGACCTAGACTGGACGGCTTGTTCTTTTACCCGGACAACTGAGCTGTGGATCAGTCACGGCCATCTCGTTCTCGGCTTGGCCAGGTCATGACGTGCAGGCCCTTTCCGACTCGCCATCCTATCACGCCGAGTAGGCCCAGCCAGGCTCATTGAACCACCATGTCGAACAAGAAGATCCAGGAGCCGGTCATCACGAAGGTGTCCGAGCTGCCCGTCGAGCAGGCAAAATGGGTGACGCTCAATAGGGTCGACTACATCGACCAGGCCGGCAAGGCGCGCACGTGGGAGGTGGCGACGCGCAAGACCCGAGGCAAGGCTGGCGTGGACGCCGTGGCCATGGGGAACATCCTCCTGCATCCGTCGCGCCCGGCCTCGACCATGCTCGTCATCCAGTACCGACCGCCGCTCGACGCCTACACGGTCGAATGGCCGGCCGGCCTGATCGATGCCGAGGAGACAGCGGAGCAAGCGGCGGTGCGCGAATTCAAGGAGGAGACAGGATACGACTGCCGGCTATTGAGCATGAGTCCTGTGCAGGCGGCAGACCCCGGCCTGTCCAACGCCAACATGCAGATGGCGATGGTCGAAGTGCAGCTCGGGGAGCGCGACGAGGAGCCGGAACAGCGTCTCGAGGACGGCGAGTACATCCAGCGCGTAGTCGTGCCGTTGTCGGAGCTCTACGACCGCCTGGTCGAATATTCCAAGGCGGAGCGAACGATCGTCGCGGCTAAGCTCTTCCATTTTGCGGCGGGTATGCAGTTCGCGCAGACCCAGAAGTATTTCTAGCTGCTGGAGGCCCGGTTCAACTCACCTTGCCGGAACCCACCGGCCTCTCTGCCGTATCTACCTAACTACCGGAACCGTGGACAGCATAGTCCGCAAGACTTTTGTACACGCTAGTGCCCTAAAAGTCCGAACAAGAGAGTCTAGCCACAAGACAGACGGACAGAGGGACGAACGAAGGATGCTTGAATTGCGCAGAGGTAGACACTGTATATACCTAGGTAGACTAGAGTAAGACGATGAATATTCACCTAGGTGCGGTGCTCGGAATTTCCCGAGGGGATCAAAAAGCAGGCGGAATCATCGCGCAGTCGGGATGCCTGGTATGGAATGAATTCGGTTGGTACCGGAGCTGAATCACCCTCTCCTCTCATCCCAGCGATCGCACCAGCCAGTCATTGCGTGCGCCCCGAGAACGTGTGTGCCAAGCCACATTCATCTCTGTACGGCAACCACCAAAACGCAACACGACGACGCAATATTAGTCTGGAGATACCCACGCTCGCTAAGACGATCCCCAAGCCTCAGGATGCTACTCGGATTCCACTCCAGAATGACGGCCTAGCCTTGGACCGAGCCTCATCATCGCTCCGCATTGGTCGAATCCGACGACGCGTGCCCACGCGCATACTCACCCTAGCTTCATACCTAGATTCCCAGATCGAAACGCTCGCCACCTAGCCTAATCGAATCGTGCGTGATGTCGCGACCCTTGTATGCGTTGCATATCGGCGCACGCATAAACAAATAGATCGAATAGAGAAAATCTACGTCTTCTGCTGGGGGGTATAGATATAGGTACCCTGTATAAATAGGCGAGGTATGCCGCTTTGCGAGCAACGACAAGTGGTTGTTCTCGTCGCCGCTGCCTGCTGCGCATTCGCTTCCGTGTTGTATTCCGTCTCCTTACGCGGACGAGTTGACGCGGCTGCCGCCAATATGGGGTTGCCGCCGATGAATAATAGATGGCCATCTTCGCTTCTGGCGTCGTCCCTCACCGCCGCCGCCGCCGCCGCCGCCGCCCAGAACATTGACTTGGGATGGTATCCCCCGAGCGGCACGTCCATCAACAACCTAACTGCCGCCCTCAACGGGCAGGGTGTCTACGGGTTCATCTTCAACACGTCAGACACCCCGGACGAGCAGTACGGCACGTACAATTGGTGCAACATGCCTCACGTCCGGAGGTCGGAGTACGTTAAGCCGCCAGCCGAGTACGAGCTCAAATACGTCGAAGTAGTCAGTTCCGCCCCCTCCCTTCTGCTTTTCTCTCTCCCCTTTTAGAGGTCTCTGTTTTAGTGGGTAGGTATTTAGTAGTCCGGGTATGGTGGGCTGAGCTCGATGTATCAGATTCAAAGGCACCACAAACGAACTCCGTATGCGAGCAATGCCTTCCCCGTTGAACCTTATCGCTGGAACTGCGACGATCAGGGGCTCTATTATTACGGGCGGCCTTTCGACGGCGATGCCAAGCAACCCGTCGAAGGGTTCTGGAAGGGCTACATCTCATCGGTCAACCCCTTCACCCCCTCGGGCTGGATCGGGTCCTGCCAGTTTCCTCAGATCACCTCCGGGGGGCTTGACGACTCTTGGGTCCACGGTCGGGATCTCTACGAGGTCTACCACGACTTGCTCGGGTTCCTCCCCGGCAGGGGCGAGGACTGGAGGGCCAAGGTCGCGTATCGCGTCACCCAGAACGTGATCACGAGCCAGGTTGCCGGCATGCTGGTCAGCGGCATGTGGCAGACGACCGAGTCCGTCCCGCTGATGATCCAGGCAGCCAACGTGGACAGCCTCGAGCCCCAGTACAGCTGCAGCGTGGGAAGCCGACTCTTCAACACCATCAAATCTTCTTCCAACGCCGACTGGCAGAACCACCTAGATGCGGCCGCCGACCTGTTCGGCCACCTGGACAGCCTCTCCGGCGTGCCTCCGAATGATTCCGGCTTCCACGAGAGCTTCGACCATTATTTCGACAACCTCTCCGCGCGGCAATGCCACGCGAAGCCGCTGCCCTGTAAGCTGGAGAACGGCACAAATTCGACTGCGTGTATCGATCAGGCAACAGCCGATACGGTCTATCGTCTAGGCCAGTGGGAGTATTCCCAGATCTATCGTGATGCGCCCACCTCGCTGGCGGCTTCTTCTACCACGTATGGCATCTGGGTTGCTGAGCTGACCGAGCACTTGCGAGGCGTAATAGCAGGCAAGGAGGCGCCCATTTACCTGCACAATCTCGCGCACGACGGTTCCGTTAGTCGTCTTTTGAGCATATTACAAATTGACATTATGGTGGTAAGTCTGTTTATGTAGCTCTAAGTGCCCCGTACGAAAACAATCGACGCTCGTCAACCCCCTCGTCGTCACGAGGTGCCCACCACCTCTTTGTGTATGCCCAGAGAGTACCGAACCACTAAGGCATATAAACCATTTCCCACCATCGACTTCTAGGCGTGAAATCGCTGACACAAGTTGCTCATAGTGGCCCGGCATGGGTAGCGAGATCGTCTTCGAAATGTACGAGAGAAAAGGGAACGCGACGGGTCCGGGGCCATGCGGTAGCCCCAGTGTCAGGGCTAGGAGGGCACAACCCAGCCGAAGGAGCCAAGGCGAGTTCTTCGTCAGGGTATTATTCGGCGGGCAGCCGCTGAAGTCCTCGAGCCCGAGTCTCGGTCTGATGGACATGGTGCCCGCTGAGACGCTCCTCGCGTACTTCGACGGGCTCGTCGGGGAAAACGCCAGTTTAGTCGTGGGGAAGTGCAACGGGACGCTGGCTCTATAGGGGGCGGAGCGGTGACAAAAGTAACTTGTGACTTTAATGTCGATCTGGGTCTAATTGTTTCCCTACGTCGACCCACCTCCCCTCTCGCACCGGGTCCAGTTGTCGAACCTTCGCCAGCCATCCGTGGGGATCGTCGACTTGGGCACCCTCATTTCCGCGCTGCCCAAGACCACGGAGGGCTACAGTGTATGTGAGTAGGGCTTCGTAAATCCATTTTATATCGTCGTAATCCTCTAGAAGATCCTTAATGTAATCAATTTCCTCGTTTATGTAAGCCGCCCTCTGCTCAGCGGTCAGGGCCGGTACTATGGTGGTGCCCGCGTGATCGGTGATCTGGGACAGCAGGTACTGGTGGTAGTACCAGAGACTCTGATCTTCAGGACCAACATTGAGCGCTTCGTGGATGAAAGACAGCTCCTTCTTGAGGAAAGCCTCTCTTGCCGCGGCATCAGCATTACGTTCGTCTAGCAGACGGGGCATCAGCCGACTCCGATTGTGCCAGGCGGAAAAGTTGGATAGGTCGTGACGTATCATGAGTTCCGTGTAGGCAAACTCGTCCTCGGCCATGCTCTTCCCTCCCAGCGAAGCACTTTCCAGCGTGGCGACTACGTATCTCCGGTAGTCCCACGCGTGGAAATTGCGCCGGTCTCTGGTTAGCATCTTGGATGCCAGAGCGAGCTCCGCATCCCATATCTTGCGTGCAGCCGCCAGGGGAAGTCTCACGATGGCCTGCTCGAGCAGCCACCTGCGATACTTCCAGATCCAGTAACACTTTGGAAACTCGAGGAGGAGCGGGACTGTGAATGCGAGTTCGGATTGTAGAGCGCTCACGTCGGCATCGGCATCTGCGTCCGCTCCCCCCTCCTCCTCCCCCTCTACCTCCCCGCTTCCTCTTTCTCCTCTTCTTTCCGCCTCGCCATCAACTGTAGTACCATTCTTCCCAGCTGTCGGGGAGAGCTGGCCTTGCCGGGTCGCATCCGAGGACGAGGGCGAGGAGTCGTCGGAAGACGGTCTCGTAGTGGCGCTCGGAGAAATACTCGGCGACGCCTTCGAGGGCGACGATCCACGCGAACGTCCGGAGAATGATCCAGAAATTAGACAGCGGCGACGGACGTTCCATATGGTGTAGTACTCGGGATTCAGGCGCAGCAGCTTGGAGGTGAGTTGGAAGAGGGCGTCGTCGTAGCGGTTGGAGGCTGCTTGGGCGCGGACCGAGTTCTCGAGTTCGCGATACTGCTTGATCCTGTCGGAGTCTCGCTGACGGTGCTCTTCGGTTCGGGCGGATCGACTAGTGCGGGATACGCCGTGCTGTCGATATCGTCAACCCATCAGCCACACACACCCACGTCTACCCTCGTGCGTTTTCTCTTTGCTCTTTCTGTTTAATGCGGTTGAGTGGTAGCAGACTGACATACACTTGCCATTATCTCGGTTGAATCGGCCGTGGGGGATTGTGCTTGGGATTCGCGTACAAATACTACTTGGCAGACTAGCACGAGCCGGAAGATGAGGCAGGGTAAGATGGATCTCTGTTCATTTACCACGAGGCCACCCCGAAAGCAAGAAAGCGCACCGGCGGAGGGTTACTAGTGGCAGTACGTGTTAGGTGGTTAGGTACCTAAGGTACCTAAGGTAGCAGCCCGTAATCCGGCTGAGTTCCATTGCGAGGTAGATTAGGTACTTAGGTACCTACCCCGCCTCCCATCTCCTCCCCCATTAGCGCATATTACCTGTTCCGAATACCTCATAACCGCTATAGGTGAATTCCACGTACCTAACCGCACCTGGGCCGCCGCCCGGGTTCGGCCCTCATCTCAGACTTACGGACCGCTGCCGTCGGCGACCAGCAGGCAGGTTCTACACCGGGAATGGCAGCACGTCTACCGAACCGCCAGTCCTGTGTCCCATCTTCGTCGCGGCGCGGCGACCCATCGTAGGGGCTTCCACGGCAAGGTGCTCGCAACTGCTTTTGGGCGATAGGGAAGTTTTATTGGAATGTCCTTTCCTCACCACCGCTTCCCTCCCCTCCTCCTACCTCGATCTAGGGCGGGGAGGAATTGGCCTTACGCCCTGGTAAGCACCTTATTCCCTCTCCTCCACACCCTTCCCATAAAGCATGGGCAGTACGCTCCTAATAGTTTTCATCTTCCCTCCTCCTACGTAGTTATGGCATCTGAGTAGACTTCATTCCTTCATTTTTTTTATTTCTTGTTTTCTTCAGCATGCCTATTGCGTCGCCTGACCGGTTCGTGCCGTCTCGTGTACCTCTTCAAGACCGTTTCCGAGCCACTAAGCAGGCCCACGAGTTATCGCCGTCGGAACGCTTGCATCGAACTGAGGATTCTGCTTCCGATGTCTTCTGCTTCGCGTCCATGAGGTCGGCACTCATCCCCGCACGGCGAGCCTCGAGGTCTGACGGTGTTGAGCGACAAGCTGGCGCCATCCTGAGTCCGGACTCCTCGGGGCGACAGGTCAGCAACGGTGCCGTGTGGTCCGTTGGCGGTTTAGCTCCCGGAGGGGTCGGTGTTGACGATGGCCGCGGTCAGCGGATGCGCTCAGGCAGCAATGCCCGCTATTATACCACCTCCTTCGCGGACGCGCAGCCCAGGTCGGAGGACGAGCAAGAAAGGCACGAGGGTCGATTGGCTTTGGCGCTGGACATAAACCGCATCCAACGGATGTTAGACTTTGGCCAGTATTCCACGTTCCCTCGTTGCAAGCGTAACGCCATACCGCTGCCATTGCAAGGGACGAGAACGATTTGGACCGGGAGTGGATGGAGCAACGGCTGCCATACGTCCAGTACGCCTAGGACCTTTCGCTCTAGCTTTCGACGGGACTGACGGGGGCCGCAGACACTCGGAGAGAAGAGAGACTTCTTCCCAATGCCCCATTCAAGTATGTGAGGTCCCCTAGCCCGCTTTCCTTCCTTCATGTTGAACAGTCGACCAGAGTCTTGGATGCGCCTGGTCTTCGAGACGATTTTTACTGCTCTATCATGGCCTACTCCCGCACTCGCAATGTCTTGGCCGTCGGATTGGGCAACTTACTCTATGCGTGGTCGGAGCCTATGGGGGTAACGTTGTTAAATGCCGGGCTCCAGGACGGATCCTGGCTGACCTCCGTCGCCTTCTCGTCTGACGAAGGAGACAAATCGATACTCGCGTTTGGCCGCTCAAGCGGAATGCTCTTCCTGATGTCGCTCTTGGACGGCCGACCCCCCAGTTCCTTCTCGGGCGTGTGTCCTCGCTTTAAAATCCATCAACCAGCGCCTGTAGCTTGCTTGTCCTGGCGCCCCGCGGTCGCGCTGCGGCCTTCCCGTAGTGAGCTCAACCCCGGCGTTCTAGTCAAGACGGAGGACCTTCTTGTAGGCGACGACGCGGGTGATATCTACTACTACTCGGTCGAGTGGCCCGCAACCTAGGAAGTGGCTCGAGAAAATTGGCGTGGCACTATGACTTTGCTCGCGCGCATCAAGGTTCACTCTCAGCAGATATGCGGCCTGGCATGGTCTCCTGGCGGTGAGCAGTTCGCTACCGGTAGTAACGATAATCTGTGTTGCCTCTTCAATGTTGACAGGATCATCGACACGAGGACAAGCCCAGGCTCCCCGGCTCCATCCGCGAACAACTTCCGTAGCGACGGAGGCGAACCTACCGCTTTGCCGTACACAATAAATCCGGGGAACGGCGGCTCGTCGCCAGGCACCCGGGCCGACGACTTGGGGTTCCTGCCGGTCCAGCGCCAATTTCCGGTTGGTTCAGAGCAGCATCGGTGGCGTCACGGCGCGGCCGTGAAGGCCATCGCATTTTGCCCGTGGCGTCAGGGGCTGATTGCCACCGGCGGCGGATCCAACGACAAATGCATTCACTTCTACCACACCCGGTCGGGCGCCGCGCTCGCCACGATCTCAGTCGCGGCGCAGGTGACATCGCTGATCTGGAGCACGACCCGGCGGGAGATCGCGGCGACGTTCGGGTACGCGCATCCGGACCACCCGTATCGCATCGCGGTTTTCAGCTGGCCGGATTGCCGGCAGGTGGCTGCCGTGCCGTGGGAGGGGGAACACCGCGCACTCTATGCCATCCCGTACCCGGGAGGCCCGAGAGAGGCGTGCCGGGCGAGGGATCGGTCGCGGAGCCGGACGGCGGAGGAGGGCTGCATCGTGGTGGCGAGCAGCGACGAGAGCATCAAGTTCCACGAGGTGTGGGTGGCGTACCGCAAGGCCACCACACTAGGCAGCGGGATCCTAGGCGGGAGCGACATCTTGGAGATGGGAGAGGGCATCGACAAAGAGGGCGACGTGATTCGCTGAGGAGAGGAAAGGGGAGAGGAGTGAGGAGTGAGTTGGAAGTAAGGAGGCACAACATGGATATAGCATTGTTCCGTGGGGGGTTGCGGCGGGTGAGCAAGTTAAAATCAATAGGGACTCGTCGCCGACGATCAAGAAGACTGCCAACGCTAGGTAGTTAGTCAGCTCTCCGGTGCTGGGCGACTTGCACCTTTCCAAGCCTCTATTTCGGGTACCTACCTGAGCGTAACACGCGGACGGGCTTCTCGTGGTCACGGGCAAATCCTGTTTCGCAAAATTGTCTGTCTATTCATTCGGATGTGACTTGCCTAACTAACCTAGCCGTGCGAGTCCCGGGCCGGGGGAGCAGATACCCGGGAATTTTGGCAAGTAATCCGGGTTAGGCATGGGTATGGAGACCTCGGGTGGTCGGCGCAACGAGTCCAGCGCCCGTGGCCGTATACAGGCTGAGGGAGTTCTTGCGGCGTATGTAAGTGGTCTGGAATTCGATCGAATAGAAGTATTACATAAAGGAGGTAGGCAGGCAGACACGGGAGAAGTCCTGACATTTAGTCATGCATGGAACGGCAGCCAGGGCAGTGTGTTCGTCATCTGGGTATGGAAATACCTAGGTACCTAACCTACCACATTCTGCATTCTAGGTACCCAGGTACCTCAGGCAATCAAGATGGCTGCTGATGGTGGTAATAATAATGAGCAGTCCCTCTTCAGTCACGTTCCTCATTGTCCACCTGCACACACACACAGGGTCACCACTACCTACTATACTACCTAGCGCCGGTAGGGGCTTAGCGGGTAAGGCAAATGGATGCCCCCCGCATGCTCGTCTTTCTATTCTATAGGTAGGTACCTGTAATACTTGTAGTTACATACATAAGTACCTAAGGTACCCTAGGTACCCTGGGTTACCTCTAACCTAGTAGGCAGGAGGCAAGCTTATGATGTATCTACCTAGGTACCTACCTCACAAGATACCTAGGTACCTACCTCATATTTCGTCATATCTCGGAACGGATTTGCCTCTAGTGCTGTTGGTTTGCAAATCGTACCTAGGTACCTCCTCGTCCTACTGATGTGATGAGGTACCTAGGCATTGTACCTGGGTACCTAGATTAGGCATTATACGCATGCGTACGTGCCGCCTACTGTAGAGATCGGTGACTCTTGTCAGCAGCCCATTTGGTCATCGCAGCCACTGCCCTCCTGGCAGGCCTCTTCCCTCCGCCAAATCACCTGCGACACCCCCAGCCAGGAAAAGCGGGAAAGCGATGATGGGTGTGAGCGTAAGTACCTGAGGCACAGAAGGAAATTGCTGTAGAGGCTTGCGCAGGAAGTTGCCTTGCGCAGGAGGTTAGGTACCGATGGAGGTACTGTACCCGTCTTAGGCACCCGAGGAGGTACGTCGCAAAGCTCTGAAAGTGACAACATGACCAGTACAGGTACCTCTGCTGCTGGCTCCTTTTTTTTTTTTTTAAGAAAAGGCCCCGTGAAAGGGCAGCCTTGACCCTCTCCCCGGCCTTCTTCTGCTTCTCCCTCTTTCCCTTCCCCCCCCCGCCGCCCCACGTAGAACCCGCCTGTGCCTGTACCTGTGCCTTCTTGCCGTAGAGGCTGGACGGCTCTAGCAAACGGCCCGTCGACATCACCTGGTTTCCCTTATCTCCTCTGCCTTTTCCTCCTCTGCCTGCGCCCTCCATCCTCGTCTTCGTCTTCTCTCTTTTCCATCTCACTTCGTCACCCCACAACCACCTCGACCACCTCAACCACCTCAACCACCTCAACCACCTCGCATCCGCGACACTCATCTATCCTGCACAGCACAGCACGCATCGTTATTATTGCTCCCCAGCCGGAATCGCAAGCCGTTTGTCGTCAAGATGCGATCCAAGTTCAAGGACGAGCACCCCTTCGAGAAGCGCAAGGCCGAGGCTGAGCGTATTCGCCAGAAGTACGCCGACCGCATCCCCGTACGTATCTCATCCCTCTTCTCTATCGGCCGATGAATTATCCATCGCCCCTTGCCATATCCCTCCATCATCGCGTCTGCGAATAGCGTGCGGAGGTGCGCCCAACTCCTTCAACCCAACTTACCTCCGCGTCGCTGTCGCCGTCGTCATTTGCCGCCGTCATTCACCATTGTTAAAAATGCTTCCCCACACACTCTCTCTTCCGGCGGTGCCTACGATGGTTGACGGCATCCTCTCTGCGTCTCTCCCGACCTGCTGGCCGCCTGCTTCTAGCAACACCCCACCTATCTCACCGCCTCGCTCGTTCCCCCGCCTTTTCCTGGATTTCCGACTTTCTAACTTCGGGATGCATCACAGGTCATCTGCGAGAAGGTCGAGAAATCCGACATAGCAACCATCGACAAGAAGAAGTACCTCGTCCCCGCAGATCTCACCGTCGGCCAGTTCGTCTACGTGATCCGAAAGCGCATCAAGTTGTCTCCCGAAAAGGCTATCTTCATTTTCGTAGACGAGGTCCTGCCACCGACTGCCGCGCTCATGAGCAGCATCTACGAGGAGCACAAGGACGAAGATGGGTATGTGACCCGCTCTTACGCTCTCCCTCGATATTTTCCGTCATCATAGCAGCTGACAATCTACCTCTGTGCAGGTTCCTCTACATAACTTATTCGGGCGAGAACACGTTCGGTGAGGCTGCTTAGGCCTGTCCCTTCCATCTTCCCCTCTTCGCACTCTCATACGGCGTTTTGGTTTGATCCTGGTTGGACGACAACGACACGGCTGCTGGTGGCGACGGACGATGGACTAGGCAGAAGCAGGCATGGCTGGTGATTGACACAAGATGCGTCACCCCCCCCGTCTCATCGCTCCCGGTCCCGCAGGGGTGGATGAAGTTAGATGCTCTGCTGGGGCGGCTCATCGTAATGCCACTTTAATATCTGCCCACCAAGTCATGCATACGTTGTCAAGCTCCAGAGTGACATATCCAGGTGTACCTTACGATTGTAACAGACACGCCTGGCTAGGCACGGTTCTTCATCCCTCTAGTTGCCCTACCCGCGAACTCCGTCGCAGGAAATTTGTACTTGATATTTAGTCGAGACATTGCGTACATTCCATTTGATGCTTCAACCCGTGTCACAACCGACGTGTCGATAGTTTCCACGCCGACCTGTATCGGCTGCCGTCGGAGCCAAATAGGCCGGAACCCGGGGTTGGAAATAGCAGCTGGACTCTTGTTTTGTACCGTTGCGTTCCGCATCAATAGACAACACTTCATCTCCACAAGCAACACCGTTCACAACTGTGACGACGGCGACGACGTAGCTAGCTACGGTTCATTTAGTAGTTCCACCACCGGTACTTCTACTAGTACTGGTTCCTAGCTTCTAATCACGCGCACAAGGCGGAAAGATGGCTCCTATCTACCTCGAGATGATATGAAAAGTGTTTGGTATTACTCATCATCTCGTTTCTTGGGCAAGCCGAGCTGCGTACGACTTAGCTGAGGGAGGGGTAACTACGTAGTCGAACAAAACCCGGGTCCTCTCCGCCTCCGGACCGGGACGTGAGTATATATTATTATATGTTTATTGGTTGTAGCAGGCGTACGTACGCACAGCATACACATATCAACCCGATATTCTCTCGTTAGAAGAGAGAGAGGGGGAAGGCAGGGAGGCAGTGTGCAGGTATTTTAACGTAGACTATAGAGACCGGCCGGAGACCGAAGTACAAGCACGATAACGGTAAGTAAGGTAGGCAGGCAGGCAATGCTTCCTTAACTATCCCGAGCCGGGCGAGGTCCCGCAGGCCCGGGTTGCACGGGGCGACGGCACGCGGCCACTACGCCGTCCGTAGGTAAACGCGTCCCGCGCCGCCGACGGCTTTGTCCCGAGGGCGAGAACCCAGTGCAACTTTTTGTTTTCGTCCTTGCTTTCCCACATCATAGCAACGCGCAAGAGCATGTCTATTTGGCGCGCCGACTTCAGGTGGGGGTAGGTCCGAGGTAATAATAAAATGGATATCGTGATCGCCCGTCTTTCCGCCTCTCTCCAACTGAGGACCGTACCGAGAGAGAAAAATGATATGACAGAAACCCTCACGCTCGACTGGGGTCTAACTTCAGCCTCCCTCGCCACACCTCGAACTCAACAGGTATTTTCCTAAGGTGAGGGGGGAGGGGGGGATAACCAAATATCGAAAATAAAAACCAGCTAGGCAGAGCTCTCTCTCTCTCTCTCACACACACACATAAGCCAAAAGCGCTTGCGCGAACAGTTGCGAGGAATATCATACACGAGGCGAACACTAGAAACTCCTGCGATTCGCCGAGGATTAACTCCAAAGCGGTAGCATCCGAATACAAGCGCGTCAAGGCTCCGATCCAATGGAACCTCCATAGAGTCAACGCCAGATCATCCACCCACTTCTCTTATCTCTTTCCTCTGTCCCAGTCTCTCTCACTCTGCACCGCTTCCTTTCTTGCTCCGCCCCGCCCCGCCCCGCCCGGTTTGGCCCCCTCCCCTCTCTCATCCTCTCCGCGTGGTGAATTGATTACTGAAATGGAGGAGCTTAAAGTGATTATTCTTGCGCGGCCGGAAACGTCAATCGTAGGGGGAATCGCTTTAAAAAAAAAAAGTCTCGAAACCCTTCCGAGTCCCCAAATGATAATGCAAACCCTGAACGTCCAGCCCATGTAATAGTGCATACGAAAGAGCCGAGCAGATGGAAAAACAGTATAAAATTCCGTATTCAGAAGCGACGCCGGTATGCGAGATGTGTTTTATTTCTTCGGAAACCTGCCGCTCCGACAGCGGCCGAGATGGGTAGGTATTCATCACGCTGGGTTGCCTTTTAGACGCTTCTGCAGTCGCGGCGTCGGGGGTTTCTTGCCGGCTATCGTTACGACCCCGTTGACCTGAGGACCCCCAATACTTGCCGGCGTAGGTGCGCCGCTCTCCTCCTCCGTCTTCACCGTCGACGGCCTTCTCCGCTTATTGCTCGCGGGACTCGTGTTAGCACTGGGTCCGCTGGAACTAGTTCCTTGTTGGCTCTGCTGCAGCTGCATGCCCGGCGCCTGCATGTGTCCCTGAGCAGGACTGCCTAGATGAGGCGAGTTCGGAAGTTGGAGATGCGTGGCAGCCGGCGAAGCGCCCATGGGAAACTGGTTAAAATTAGGGGTCCGTGGGTTTGGCGGACCGTTAGCTTGCGCCTGCCCATTCACCCCTGGTTGTTGTGGCCCGTTCGTGATATTCTGGCTGACGTATTGTTCGAGCGCGCCATAGGGGGATAAGTTGGGATGCGCGTGGTAGAAGTTGAACAACGGCTGGTCGAGTCGATAGGTTAGTTCACTGCCTCGAAATCTCGAAAAGATCGTGGCCCTTGATCATTCATAACTCACATTCATTTGTCCGACGACCTCGATGATCTTGGGGTGTCGTGTTAGTGATGATACACGTGAGGCGGATGGGGGCGCGACATACCTCTAGAAATTGGAAAACAGCCTCCGTAATGCCAATGTTCTGCTTGACTGCGGATACAGGTAGATCGATATCCGGAGGTGCGTATGCCGGCGACTTCAGCGACTTTTTCCCTTTCTTGCTCATCTCCGGTGACGACCGCGTGTCTTGACCATTTACCTTGCGCCACTGCTTAACCCATAGGTGGGCCGGCTTCGCCGCCTCGATGACCATCTTCCGCGAGTGGTATTCCTCGTGGCTCTGTGTGATAAACTCTAGGAGCTCTAGCTTTTGGTCGCTATCGAACTGGGCCCGGAGACTCCCCGTTGCGACGACCTAAACGTAGGCGTATCAGACGTCTGGCACTTGGACGGTGGCTTGGCTTTCCGCCTCGTACTACTTACATGAGAGTTGTCGAACCAGTAGGTGAGACTCGCTTTCTGGTTCTCGATGAAGTGGCAACCGTTCGGTAAAGGCCTGTCGGTGATGCCTTTCTCGAATGTCAAGTTGATCCTCCTAATACCGCTCTCGAAATGTGTATGAAAATATCGGGCTAGGGCAGGTTGCGTTATCTCGTACTGCTTATCCGCGTGCTCTTCGTTCGCCGGCTCGTTTCCGATATAGAACAGGGAGAGTCTAAAGACACCACGGGGTGAAAAGAATTGCGTTACAAAGCCGTTCCAATATGTTAAATCGTCCTTTGACCTCGAGCCCTACCCCAGCCGACACATTAGCAATCGCGTTCCGCCTACCGAGTGGTAAGGCTTGGGTAGGGGTGATGTTGGGACTAACAGGATAACCACTTAAATGCTCGCCGAACTGGAGCAACTTTAATAGACAGTGACCTTTCATGCCATCATTCTTGTGCTGTAATTGGTGGAGATTATTGGCCAGCTGCTGTTGGTTGTGGCTAACCTGAAGCATCTGCGCCGTGGGTTGCTGAGGTTGGCCTTGTTGACCGTTCAGCGACTGGCCCTGCCCCTGAGGTTGCTGCGGCTGGTTGCCCTGGACGGGGTTAGGTCCCTGATTCTGCGGTTGGTTGGGCTGCACGCCGGCAGGGGTCGGTGCCCTCTGCGGCCCTTGGGGGTTAGGTTGAGGTTGCGGACCCGGTTGCGGGCCCGGTTGCGGCTGTCCTGGTTGCGGCTGTCCCGGTTGGGACGGCTGCCCTTGCGGTTGCGGCTGACCTGGCGGTTGGGGTTGGGATTGGGGTCCTTGGCCTTGGGGGCCTTGCGAGGCCTGCTGCGCCATCGACTGCGCGATTTGCGCCTGCTGGAGGCTCTGCATATGTTGCTGGCTCATCGGTCCCGAATGGCCAGGTTGGCCTCCCGGATGCATCTGGCTATTTGCTTGCTGGTGGGCTTGATGCTGCTGCATCGCTAGCTGCTGCGCGAAGATTTGCTTTACGGGACGCGGTTAGTATCCATGTAGTAGTAGTGATGGAATCGGCGGGGTTGATTCACCTGGGCATGTTGAGCGTTGTGATGCTGTCCCTGTTGCGCAAGATGCGCCTGTGGGAGATGCGCCTGGGGCATACCGACTCGCTGCATCGTGCCTGCGCGACTCATGGCCTGGAACTGAGCCATATTCACGCCCTGCATGTTCATTGGGATACCACCGTACATCTGCTGCTGCAATAGGACTTGTCGCTGGTGGAGCATCCGCTGCTGATGCTGCATCTGCGCCATCACTTGCGGGTTGGGCGACACTGTAGGAGCATAGCCGCGTCAGCACGTACATTCAACAGGTCTGGGGAGAGAGGAAGTGGGGTGAGCATGTCTTACTTGCGTACTGCTGAGCGTGCGGCTGCGAAAACATCTGCTGAGAATTCATATGCTGAAGGGCATGAGCGTTCGGGCCGTTAGCACCGGGGGGCATGCCTCCCATCATGGCAGCCGGATTGACCTGCCCGCCGGGGCCAGACACGGCCATATGGGCACCCATCTGAGAAGGCATGCCCGGCTGGGCGCCCGGCTGACTCGGGTTGTGAGCCATACCCGGAGCACCCATAGGGTGACCGGGGTGGACGCCGGGATGCTGCTGCATGCCGGGATGGAAACCACCTGGTCCCAAACTGGCCATCATTTCTGCTGATGCCGACTATCCACCGCGTGGATCCTAACGACTAGAGGCCGTCCCAATCTCATACGCTTCCTGCCTGTCCGTCCGCGGTGGCGGTCTGGGTGTGATCGACCAACCGACCTGACTGGCAGCAGGAAAAGTCGGGGACCACGACGGACCACCGGTTTCTCGTCGTTGGGCTGAGTCTAACGAAAGCGGTTTGCTAGATACTCGTGGGTTGGTGCAAGTGCGACCTGACGCGATGTCACCACTGATGGGGTGATGAAGGTATCCAATGGCGCGGCCGCGAGGCGGCTCGAGCTACCCACCAACAAGGGACGATAGGGACGCTTTCCTCGAGGGTCGGTACGTAGAAAGGATATGTAGCCACGACGCTACGTGAGGCGACTTGAGGTAGAAATGGCAGGCAATTGAAGCGACATGCGCAGGCCTAGCCAGCCAGAGAGACAGAGAGAGATGGGGACTAGGGAGATGCGAGACGGCAAGAGAGTTTATCGGGTGCGGGGATGGGGATCTGTTTTTTTTTTTCTCCCTCCCTCGCGCGCCAGGCGTAAGCACGGTAGACTTTGGCCGGCGAGTCGATAGAGAGGATATGTCAAGTGGAAGGCTATGTCGAGGTAGTTCGTCGGGGGGAGGGGGGGGGCTGGCGGTGGAGGACGGAGATACGCGGCCGAGACTCAAGCGAGACCGATCGCTCTCCTCAATAGCATTCCCCCAGCGGTAGCAAGTCCGTTCCGCGTCGGAAACAATTGGCCGGGTGGTGACGTTGCCGTTGCCGTGGCCAGGATGGCTCAGGAGCCAGGCAAGGGTGGACGTGTACGATGCGATTGCGATATGGGGAATGGGTCGGCAGCGCCGGGCGGTGTTGGGCCTGGGTGTGGGCTTCGGCGTTGGTGTTGTGAGAGCAAAGCAGTACCGGTCCTAGAGATGCGGACGGCGATGTTTGTGCGTTTGGCGGCAGCGAACTCGGCTCAGGCACGGTTGAGGGTGGTGCTCGGTCAATCACCAGGATACGAGATGGCGCCAGCCCGAAGCGAGAGGAACGGGAGAGGTGTACGCGTATGGGCTGTTGCGTCCCTATTGCGGATGTAGAGATGGGCGTCCGTGTTGTCGCGGGCGCGACGGGGTGCAGAATGTGCCAGCGACGGGGGGTTGTGCAGGAATGGGTTCCGTGTGTAGGCCAGCAGGCGTGGTAAGCAGGCCTGCTGTATGTGTCTGGGTGTGTGCGTGCTTGTGTGTGTGTGTGTGCAGGTATGTTAATATGTTCAGCAGCGTTGAGTCGATCTCTCGCGACAACGTCGGCCGGTCATTTCTGGGAAGATCAACCTCAGTACCGAGTGCTAAGCCAGGCCTAATAAGCAGCAGGACGAAGAACCCTTCCGCTGCGAGCCCGGTAAGCCCAGCAAGGCAAAACAATAATGCGAAGGGCGCCGATGGGAAAAAGTGGCGGGTGGTCCGTAGGTATCAGCCCAGACTAATTGGGGGAGAGGAGAGAAAAAGGTAAGGGGAAGAATAAAAAAAGGGTGCGATGTGGGCTGGCAGCGAGCGCGAGGTGGGAAAGCCGAGCAGCCAGGCGGAGGAGCCAGGCGGAGGAGGACGGGGCCTTGATACGTACAAACTAAGTGTACCTACCTACCTGCCTGCGCACCCCGAGGTACCTCCCTCCCTCCTAGCCCAAGGCGAGGCGGCGAAGGTGTGAATGCTGGGAGATGGGGCTGAAAAGTGTGGCGACGCTTAGGAGGTACCTAAGGTACCTAACCCATCATTCGGTACGCTGACCGAGGGTGAAACGCCGAGCCACAGACTTGCGACTACTACTATAGTATTACCACCTACAGGCTACAGTACCCCTCTAGGTACCTAGGTACATAAGGTAGGTACGCATACCTACGTGTAGATGTGTTGAGTCACATGACCTCCCGTTCGTAATCAGGTACGCATGTAGGTGCTACCTGCACGGGTCCACATGTCAATAGGCCCCACAATAAATTTTTTCCTCGTAGCTTCAAAAACTTGCCTGGTCACCCGCAACAGAGCTTCTTCTTCCTCTTCTTCCCAATATCCCAATCGATGGTATCTTCCGTTGTTCTCTGCCCTCTCCCCCCCTCTCCCCCCCCGGCGCGCGGCTGCGGGCGACATGGTCGACGAGGCCGCGCCCGCAGGATTGGGATGCTCAACAGCCGTGCCGTAGCTAGCAGCTCGCAGCGCGATGGCTGGATATGCCTTGGTTAGTCTCAATTTCTTCCTCTTCACTTCCTTCTAACTGCGGGAAAACGCACCGCTGGGTCGTGTCGCTCCCCGATGGATTATCAGGATGACAACCAACATAAACATGTCTTCTTTTCCCAACTGAATCGACCATGAGAGAAGCTCAGTCTGTTCGGGCAATGCCACATCGGCGGCGCCTGTTACTTGCCAGTATACTTTGTCTGATTTCCCCTCCCTATGAGCTCTGTGCCTCTGATACTCAACCCTCTCCCTCCAGCGATGGCGAGGGCACTGGACGCAGAGGCCTCTGCTATCATAGAATGGGGGTATCCAGAAGGGCCGCTCGCCCTCGTTTTTTTCCCAATCCGGGGACGTCGTTCTCTAGCTAACCCAACCCCCAAGTATGCATATGCGACCGGCAAATCATCTACACGGCTTCTCCAAGAGTAAGGTCAGTCTACGAAATTTCTCCTCGTTTCAGGAATCCTTCTTGGCCACCTCGGTCTGTCGAGATTCTGGCCGCGTTTGTTTGTTTCGTGATGATATTTCCAACCACATTCGCAGTTTCCACTCGAGCTTCACTCAGAGCCTTTTGCGAAGCAGATGAGGGCATTTCCTTCCTTGGATGTCTGATAGAACATTCTCAACGCACACTAGCATCTTGCTGCCAATACTTTGATGTTGGGTTTCGGCTAACCGTATCCTGGCAGATATTTCAACCGCACCCTCGGGCCATCAGCTACCGTCGATCGCGTTTCGCGATGAGTAACATGAACCGTTGCGTGGTCAAACTCCGTATCGTTAGATAGAGATATATTCGCAATCAACAGTCCCCTTAAAACTCCTAGCCGGCGTTTTCCTCGTAACCTATGTCCGTGACAGATCCTATACCAACCCGGTTTGTGACTAGATGCCCAAAAGACCACTTCAGGTTTGTCTGTATAGCCGCACCGCTCTCGTACACTGCGAGCCCTCATGAAGCCACCTCGACGCCTTCGTGTATCCCCTCCCTCGGGCTCAGGTGGCCGATAGAATTGTTGTTTTCGTGCCTCTTGACCCTTCCCCCCACCATGCCCCTCCGGTTCCTGCCCGTCCGCCCCCTGCCCAACCAGTTCAGCTTGAGCAGCCGGCCCAGCTCCGCCACCATCTTGCTCCCGTCGTCGGCCCCTACCGCGTTGGCGCCGGCGTCGACGCTGGCCAGCACGCTCATGCACTGGAGCATGCGGCCCACCATCTCCGTCACCTGCTTGCTGTCCTCGACGTTCTGCTCGCGCAAGCTGCCGAGCGCGTCCCTGCCGCCCCGGTCGCCGCCGCCGTCCCTCGTCTGCGGCGTGAAGGGCCTGAGCAGACTTCCGGCGCCCGCCGAGGCCGGCTCAGACACGCCGCTGCCAAAGGATACGTTGCTGATCGCGCGGCTCCGCGACGGGTTCGAGTCGTTGCCGAAGACCGTCGTCGAGTTGGAATTGTAGCTGGCGACGCTGGGGTCCAGCGACATGGCCGTCCCCGGCCGTCCGGAGAACCCGTCGACCGGCGACGTCGAGAGGGCTGCCACGTTCTCGTTCAGCAGCGGCGGCGACGCCAAGGCGAGCGAGGCGAGGGAAGACGGCAGATGTTCGAGGGACAGCCGGGAGAAGATGGTCTTGAGCTTCTCGTATCGGGGTATGATCAAGTGGTCGCGGTAGGCTATGAGGACGAGTCGCCGAACGTCTAGGACGGCGGAAGCAGGGGATACGTGGGGCTGCTCGGGATTCGGCCCCGGAGAGCTAGCTACTACGCCTCCCCAGAAGTCCCGTGCCTTCTCGGGGGTTAAGAGGGACCCGGAGCCAGAAAACTCCAAATCCAAAGGCAGGAAGACGGCCTGGATGTAAGGCAGAATGCTCGTAAACGTAAAGATCCACAGCTCGACTAGCGCAGGGATCAGCCTATCCTCGGGAGTCTTGCGTAACGTGTGGTCGAGGGAGGAGAAGCCGGTCGACAGCAAATCCCGCAGGTCGTCGATGATGATATAGGCCGACCGACGCTGGATGCAGTGTTGGATATGCATGACAACAACACGGTTGAAATCCTCTACCGGCAGGCGCAGATCCTCCCCCTCGAATATGACGAGGAGCTTCCCCCTCAGATACGGCCAGGCATCGTCAAGGGACATGTTATGAAGACCATATTTACCAAAGTCGAGGGGGTCGAGGAGATATGAGGGTGTGTTGGACCCGAGACTGCCAGGCCCGGACCATTCAGCACCAGGGCCGAAAGACAATTCGTTGCCGTCATCTTTCCTCTTCTCGCGTAGTGCGCGCCCCCCATGCCGCAAATCGAGGCCGCTCACGCTTTTCCCGAAATTGTTATTGGGGCCGGGACTCGGCGGCAGGTGGAAGCTGTACAGGCTCGACGGCGCACTCGGGTCGACAGGCCGCGAGTTGCTAGCAGCAGAGGACAGGAGTAGGTGGTAGTCGTCTTTACTGCTCAACTTATGCTTCTGACGAGATAGGAAGTGGTGCCTGCGTTCCTTGTCCTTCTCCTTACCTTCCCCCCCCGTGGTCGCGTCGCCAGGTCGAATAGTCACGGCAGACGAGTTCCCCAAACTGTAGAAGGACTGCGAATCGGCGAGACTAGTGGTACTAAAGTTGGCGCGTTGTAGAGAGGCCAGAGCAGAACCAATCTTTCCCGGACTCGGAAGGGGTCGATCCTTCGCGTCGCCCTTGGTCTCGATCTTCTTTGGCCGAGAGAAAAGCTTTACCTTGGACTTCTCTGCCTTTGCGGGCTTCTCTGGTATCGCTACAGGGGGCGGTACGGGCTGATCTGGCGGCGGCAAACCTGGCGAGGTTTGAGGAGATCTCGGGAAGACAACATTGGCGGCGGCGGTGGCGGCGGCGGCGGCATGGCTGCCGAGCAGGCCGTTATGATATCCCTGGGAGCCAAAGCCGTTATCTCGCGGGCCACTCGCCTCGGTCAGGCTCAGCATGGGAGGGCTTCGGGGGCCGGGACCAGGTTTGGGGCCCGGCCTCTTGGCAGCATCGTGGGCATCACTCCCAGGGAAGGGAACGGTCTGTGATCGGTGGCGGCTGTGCTGCTGGTGCTGCATGGCGGCCTGGGCGGCTATCTGGCTGGCCGAAAGCGCGCCGGGCTGCGGCTGGGCCATGGCGACTTGGGAGAGGTTGGATGTGCTCGTGGAGGGCAGCGTGGGTTCGAAGAGGCCTTGAGTTTGGGAGTGCTTCCTGACGTGGCCGACGCGCGCAGGCGGGAGAGTCAGGGGCGAAGCGGTTCTGGCGGAGGGAAGGTCGTTATTGGTTCTGTTGGGACGGGAGAAGTTTTGCGGGCTGCTGGTAAGGGATGAGCCACCGGCGAGGCCACCAGAGGTAGAGGGGCCTCTAGTCTTGGGTAGGGAGATGGTATCGTCGCTAGAGGAGGATTCTATCCTGCGGATCTGAGGTCGCGAAGGGGCAGCGGAAGCGGCAGCGGCAGCGGCAGTGGAAGAAACAGAGCCGGGCAGAGGCGAGAAGCTGCCCGGGGCTCTCGGTTGGGATCGCTGCATTGTGTCCGCGCGCGCGCGCGCCTGCGTGCGTGCGTGTGTGATCGAAACGTCCGAGTTCCCAGCCCAGCTCCGTTACATCTTGTGCCAACCCTGCGATATATGTGATCGGCTCCACCCTGGTTTCTGATTTGTCGCTGTATGTATATACAATGCGTTCCCAAGGTAGCTTGGGTAGCTTGTCGGGTAGCTAGTTGTAGGCAGCGCACGGAGGCAAGGCGTCGTTTCGCGATCCGCCGAACTTGATTCGTATCGCCGAGATCGCAGCGGTGCAGAGGCGGAGGACAGGTCGGGTGAATCTTGTCGGCGACGGTAGGGAATGTAGTAGTAGGGAGGAGGCAGGTTGGATGGTTCCTCCATGGAGAAAGATAAACCCCAGGATGGTGAGATGTACATGACATCTGGAGGTACCTAGATAGGTTGGGTGTAGGTACCTCCTAAGGATAGGAGGAGGTTATGTGCAGCAGGTACCCCAAGTACCCCTTCTACAACGCGGGTACATCAGGGAGGTGCTATAATAGGTACCTATCTCAGGGTAGACGGGGAGGAGGGGTATTGGAACCCGGCAGTGATGCCTCAGGTACTAGCATGGGGCAGATTAGGTACCTGGCGCAATACGATACCACCCTGTGGTCTCATCGTGTCCGCTCCCTGCTGAGTCTCTTCTGCGCGACATCTCGCATCCCACCTTCAACTCGTTCCGCACAATAGGGTATATCCGTCGCCTCTCCCCCGCTGCCCTCCCCCAGGCGCCTTTTCGCTACGCGGACACCACCCCTTACGCATCCGCCGATAACCACCGCAGCCGACGACCATGGCCGCCGAGCACGTCAAAGCCACCTACGCCAACTCCTCGACCTCCTCGCCTTCGCCCGCCACCGCCCCCTTCGCCCTGCTCTCCGCGCCCCTCCCCGCCCCCGTCGCCGGCCCCGCCACCGCCTATCTCGCCGCCCTCCGCAGCGCCGTGGCCGACCTGCAGGAGCGCACCAACGCCGAGCTGACCGCGCGCATGGGCCACGAGACGACCGCCGCCGCTTCTACCGCTGCTGGTGCCGGCGGTGCCAGCGGGGTCGTCGACGAGGCAGCCGAGGAGAAGAACTACGGCGAGGAGGTTGTCGAGCAGGACGACGAGGTGTAGCTGGATGCACGTCCGAGCAGGGAATGGCGTGCGTGTATGCGCGGCTGGTCGGCGGCACGAGCTCCGTCCGAGACGATCATTTTCTTGTCGCTCTCGGCTGGGCTACCAAGCACGGCAGGCGGTGGACTGGAGGCCGGCGCAAAATTACAGCGGCACAGCCGCCGAAATGCATGAATATCAATTTGACTGCTGCGGTCCACACGTTGGCAGGCGAATGGGATATACCCCCATCACCACTATCGACAACCACTCCCGCAACATGTAATACCCCCCGGCGTCTTATCTAGGGTATCCTCACAATTCCAGAAACAGAAACATGCCCCGGTTTCAGGGACATGTAGCGCAACTCCCGGCACGGTCCCTTGCTTCCTCCTGTTCAGCCAATCTATCAGGCGGTCTTTGCCAAAAACTCGCTCTGGGCTAGTGCCGGCGTCTGAGATGGGCGTCAACGCGGGTACAGTCGCTTCCGCAATTTCGACCTCATTCCAGCTGGTTCAGCCATGCCTGCCCCAAGAACCGGCAATCCGCTCCGCTCGGCTGCCACTCGCGCTACGTCGTCTCCCTAAACACCCGTAATGGACCACACTGTTGTCAGGAAGCACGGCTACCACACTATTACCTAATCTCTTGTGGCAGACGCCGCATACTCTCTCTTCGCCGATGACTACCCTTCTGTTGCGCCCGGATTGGCCGCCGGGGATGCCGTCCCCAAGCAGCAGCAACGCTTGCGCGTTCACCAGCTGCGTTTTGCGCAAACCCTCGACGATTCTCGATTCTGATATCACACTATTGGCCGCGCGGATGCGTCCCCGGAAATACGACTCGAGCTCCGCGATGGGGATGTCGTTAGGGATAAGCGACAACGTAGACTCTGCCGGAAGACGGGAGCCGTGCCTGGACAGCAGCTCCAAGGCGGGCTCGAGGTTTGGTTTGTTAGGCGGTGGTGGAGTCAGGTATAAGGAAAGGAGCATGTGATATATGGAAGGCGCCGAATCCGGGTCGTTCTGGTCGACCGAGGGCGCGGGAAAAGATTCTCGCCGAGTGCTAGGCAGTGCGTGGATGCGATTGCAATACCTAGTAATCCAATCGTAAGCAGTGATCGTTGCCGGTGAAACACGTACACATACTCTTCTGCTTTCGCATAATCTTGTATGTTGAACACGTAAATCTCGAGAGCTTGCTTGTGCGATCCCATGTTGCTGAATACTATGGCCCGGGCCTCGTAGAACGCCGGGTCTATACATATGTCTATTAGCGGGCGGCTCTACTTCTCTTCGAGATCGGATATGCTCCTTTGGTGACCTACCATCGCGAGGGATGATACTGAGAGCCCTGCTGAGACTGTATTGCTGACTCCCCTTCAGGAAAGCTACGAGGCTCGCCAACCGCTCGTTCCACAGCTCGTTTCTTTCATCGGCCTTTAGGGCTTGGACGAGCAGCTCCACCAATCGATTGTGGAAATCGGGCGTGCCGTCTTCCAGCTCCGTGATGATGTGTTGCAAGTACCGGATTTCTAGGTAGACGTGGATGGTACCGAGATAGTTGACAACCTTCTCTCGAGGCAATGTCTCCGCATTCTCGCTATCGGCCACAAATATTTCTAATCCCTGGTCTGGATTGCGCCGTAGAACCCAGCTCGCAAACTCGAGGATAATATCGATCATTTCTGGGGGTAGATTCTGTAGATATTTGATGGTTCTTTGGGGGCCACGGAGTTGTTCGGGTATGGCCACTTCAGCCTCGTCGTGGCCATTGAGGTCGAGCGTGGCCACTTCGCTTTCCGCATCGGTGTCCCCGAATTTGCGGAGAAGGGTGAGCGCTTCTCGGTGGAGCTTCTTGCCATAGAAGAAGTCGACCAATTCGTTGTACCGGTTGTGCTTGAGCAAATGTTCATTCACCACCGCAGGGTCGCAGAAATTCGGAATGCGGAAGAGAGAGCCCGCAAGGGCAGGTGTAACAAACATCAGCCCACGGAAGAGAGTCGTATCGACCAGGGTGAACGTCTCCCTGAGCTCCTGTTCGAGTTGCTCGTCGGACTCGGAGCGAGGGTGTGTCAGTAAGGCGTCCAAATTCTCATCTATGCTTAGAGACGAATCCACATTCGTTGCGGGTTTGCCTAGCTTCAGCTTGCCCGTTGCAGGGTCGATCCACCGCTGGAGGCGCGCCCTCGTGCCGGCAAGATAGCTGTTGAGTTCCCGGACAGCCTTGGTCAAGTCTTTCCCTTCCAACGGTCCATCCTCACACGTAGTCTTCGCCTTAACCTGTATGCTCGCTGCGTCGTCGTTCTCGGCGGCGGTCGCCCTCTTAGATGAGGCGATGGACGCCGCATCCGAGTCTATTCTGCGGTGCCCGCTCATCCAATACTTTGCAAAGGTGGTCGGCCTAGATGGGGACGCGGCGTCGATGCCGGCATCGGCCTTTGCCGTCGTTTCGCCGTTGGCCTTTTCATCATCCTCGTGATCTTCCTCTTCCGAAGTTTCCTCTTGGGGCGTTTCGGCGGCGAGGTCGCCAGCAATCATCCTGGGATACAACCTGAGGACCCTCTGGGGAGGCGCGTGCACTTCATCCTCGTTAAACAATGCTAGGCTTTCCGAGAATTTCCTCTGCCTGAACAGGACCTCGGCTTTCAACATCTTGGCTTCCCGTAAGGTACTAGTCTTGTCCTTCAACAGCGCGTCTTCCAACATGCCGAGGACACTTACAGCTTCGTCGTACTTTGCTTTGTCGATCAGTTCCTGGACCTGGGTGTCGTAGTCGGTGGCTTCCATCTTCCACACAGCCCTCTCGCTGCTGATATGAAAACCCTTACCCGCATGCGCGAGGCTGGGCATGAGAGGCGGGAAATGCAGCTGTGCTGCGCCGGGGAGCTCCATCGTCTGTAGGAGGCTTAGAGTTTCCGGGTTCCGCACCTCTAGCGAGCCCTTGGCTGGTGGCTGAAGAGCTAAGATATAAGGATAGCTGTATCCGATGCTTTCGGGGGCGCTTTGCCAGGGAACCTGACGCTTGTCCAAGACGTTCCCATCCGTATCGATGAAGAGCGAATTGATGTCCCTCGCAAGTAGTATCTGCCCCTCGGCCAATCTCGTCACGAGCGGCTTCGGCATGTACCCTCCAAGTCCCATGTAGCCCATACTCGCGGCACCGAACCTGCCTCCTTGGCCTCCAGCCACGGCGGCGCCGACGCCGGCGATCTCGTGTATTTGCGAGGTAGTCACATCGACCAGGACATACCCTGCGTTCATGCCGCAGACCACCTTGGTCGCGTTTGCCCAACTTAGGGTTCTGATGGCCTCGGGTAGCACGATCTCGATGACCTCGTCACGCAGTTCGCTGTCGTGCCAGCTCCATAACAGCAGGCGCCGCTTTATAGCCACGGCAAGGCGGCTGATGATATCCGGAATGCCGGTTGCCGCATCCTTGACGATGTTGCTGGTGACAGCAAAGCACGTGGCATTTTTGGTGCGGGATATCGTCTCTATCAGCTCGTAGGTATGAATGTCGTGGAGAGAGACATAGTAGTTGGAGAGGGACACGAGAGTGTTGGCTTCTTTGATTACGGCTAGCTGGTCGATCGCACGCGTGGAGAATTTCTCGACTTCGCGGAGGAGTTCTGCGGGCTTGGGTTCAGGATTCGGATCCGGCTGCGTCGGCGTCGGAGAGGAAGAAGCACCGTTGGACGGCTGGGACGGTTCGTTCAGGCGGTATATTCGTAGGGAACCAGTGTTCAAGCCGACAAAGACGCGATCGCCTACGCAGCACAGGAAGCTAGGTCAGTACTCGAGCCGACAGAACTAGAGACAGGCGAAGAGACACACCGTGGGCCAAGATAGCCTCTATCTTGGACTTGTCGCGCTGCTTGAGCTCGATGATGGGGCGGGCTGTGAACGCGGAGAGCATGGCGCTCCGATGCTACCTTGGAACGATAGACATTGATTATACGAGAGGAATAGTTAAGCAACAGTACCAGTTAGCAACCCCAAGGAACCCGGTATTTGCGAAGCTCTATGCCGTCAGGTGGTTGCAGCGTTATGCGAGGAACGGAGAGGGAGGGAGGTAGGATGTGTGTGCGTATAGGCGGAGTAGTGGAAGTGGTGAGCATAGAATGGATGCCATGTGAACCGGCTTCGTCTCCCTAGCTGGCTCCGAGTATAAGAAGAACAACAACCCCGGCTACCATTGGAACTTGACCCATACGTACCTGGTACCTACGCTCAGTCGGGCGAGGTACCCAAGGTACCTCTAAGCAGGTACAATAACATCATCGCAGATAGCTCGGCCAATAAGCATCGGCAGGCATGGACGGCCAAGGCCGCAGTACCCTACCTCTACCTCTGAAAAGGTACCTCTTAGGCACCTTTTGGAAGGTTAGGTGGGTATCTTTAGGGAACTCAGGGTAGGTTTTATAGGTACCTACGTATTATGAAGCACCTAAAGTAATACCGCCTAGGTACCTATATGGCAGATCCGTTGGGTGCCCAATTCACGTACGTCTCTATATCCCCTCATCTTCCACGCCCAACGGTATAAGAAGAGGATAAGGCAATAAACACGATTGGGTATCTCCCTACCCACGTATATAGGTAGGTACCTAGCGTGTGCAGGACATTCCTATACGTGGCCGGACCACATCACTTACGCTGGCGAACTCAAGCTGTTAAAGATAACGAGGAGGGCAACGACTATCTCAACCAAGGTAGGTTAGGTAGGTAGATGAGGAGGTAGGAGGAGGTAGAGGGTAAAGAGCATACGACAGTTGGAAACGAAAAGAAACCCATGTGCCCAAGAGGAGGTATCTAGGTAGCTAGGTAGGTACCTGGGTATCCGATATATCCGATAAAAGACTGTGGTTATTCGTCCGTTTTATACTACAAAGAATGCCAGGTATATACCAATCTGCCTTCTAAAAGTAGGCCAGGATAAGCAGACACATGAGAGATATGAGGCACGTAGCATATGTGTGCATGCGTGTGTGTCGTGTGTGTGTCGGTGCGAACCAAGGAAAACGCGAATGGGGGACATGATTCTGCACTTTGGGCTACTTGGCAGTATCGTGTCCCTATACTGAGCATGTTCCATATGCCCTCGTAATGTCCCCCGAATAAGGGGAACCGCTACTATCTGTGTCTTACACCACATCCATTGGATAACCCCGGGATCTATAGTGGTAGCCGTCCCGGATCTATACAACCAAAACCATATAAGTCAGCTCCGTGGCGACGGGCATAGTCCATATACCCGCACTCGCTTCACCCATGTGCCCCCGTTTGTTATTACATCCCGATAATCCGCATGGCGCCATACCCGATAGTCACCGAAACCGCCAGGGTGAGCACGCTGCTCGGGATGCCGCGGCTGATAAAATGACTGACTTGCAAATATCGCTGTCCGGTAGCGTCCTCCTTCATGATCGCCGCTATGTATTGTTAGAACATCGGACTCGAGAGTTCGCAGCATTGGTGGTGGGCAGGGCCAAGTAAAAAAAAAACTCACTCATATTGGGGAAACCGCTAGTCGGCAGCGCCATCGCGGCGCTACACATGAGCGCCGCCGCCATGACGAGCAGGTTGGGGTGAGGCTCGTCCATCGCTTTTCCAATATCGGACACGAGTGGCAGGATAATCAGTGCGGCCACCGTGTGGCTGATGAAAGTCGCAATGACCAAGGTCAGGCTCGAGAAGATGAGCAGGACGCCGTACAGGTCCATCCCGTCAACCCTCTCGGATATGGTCCTGGCCACCGTGTGAAGAAGCCCCGACGACTTGACAGCCCTGCCGAGGGATAGACCACCTGCAGCGAGGATGATGATGGTCCAAGGGAAGTTGTTAAAATCCTCCTTGGTGAGTATCCCAACGCCGAAGAAGATCACGATCGGGATGATGGCAATGACACCCATATCACCCAACGTCGACTCGAGTTGATGGCTCGCGCACCAGAGTCCGATGGTGGAAAGGCATATGATCGACACGAACCACTGCAAGCCCGTGAACGACTCCTTCACCGACCTGATCGGCACGATGGTGACGCCTTTTCCGGGCTGGAACGTGGCAACAAGAAGGACCCAAATCAAGACAAGCGACACGATACCCACGGGTATCACGATAAAGAACCATTCGCCCCAGGTCGGAGCCGGTTCCATGACGCTCAACGCGACCAGATTCTGAGGTGAGGCGATGGGGGAGAGCATCCCGCCAATGTTAGACGCTAGCGCGATGCCCATGATCACGGCTTTGGACATGTTGGAGTCCGAAGGAAGATTACGCAGCATAGGCTATAAAATAGGAGATCCTTCCTGTCAGTCAGCCCGCGAGAACCTCGAGGGGTGTTCACATACCTCGACGATGGAGAAGCAGAGCACCGGGGCGGCAACATTGCTAACGAGCATGCTGGCGAAAGCGGCTACAAACATGACAGCAACGAGTACCGTCCTCGGCTGCGTCCCCGCCTTGCTAAGAACAAAAGTTGCGATTCGCTTGTCGATCTTGCATTTAGACAAGGCTGCGGCGATGGTGAAGCCTCCCAGCAGCAGCATGATGACAGGTGTCCACATAGCCGAGAATATATACGCGGTTGCCGCCTTCGAGTCTAGTCTATCGTACGGCGCGTTGTCCGAACGGACGACTCTCAGAACGACACAGAGGAACGGTATCAGGAGCGACGTCACGAACAGCGGTATTGCCTAACGGAGGCGGTTAGCGTGCTCTACGCACGGGGCGCATAGCATCTCGACATCTCTCACCTCGGTGGCCCACAGCAGACTAACGAACACCAACATGGCTAAGCAGTTTTGCTGTTCGGGGCTTTTCATGATGGGAACGAACAGGATCGCGAAGAAAACGGCGATTATTCCGAGAAGCGTAAACATGGCCGAGCTAAACAGCCAGGTCGGGCAGGTGAACCGTCCGAAGGGCAGGACGATTTCTCTCATGGGGGTCACGGGTGCGTCGTCGCCTTGCAGTCTCACCCCCAATCCATCATTCCGCGCGCCGAGGAGGCCCTGGCCGAGAGTCGCGGCCTCGGCACGACGTTCGAGGCCGATGAGGTCTCGCCATACCGTATTTCGTTCCCAGACGACGTGCTCCCTCAGGTGCGATCGGAGATCCTTCTTAGCCAGATCTTCGTCGCCTTGCCTGACGACGTCAGCATAGGCCTTCTCCAGGGCCCCGATAGTTTCCTCGATGTGCCTAACAGTCTCGGGTAGGAAAGGATACGCGACCTCGACTACATCCCTCATGTACTTCGGTCGGAATTCCCTATCGATGATCTTGTCGAACTTCTTGAGCACCTTGCTGAAACCGGTCTTGTTTAGTTGGACATACGACTTCAACTCGCAGAGCTGTACGTAGATATTGGTGATGCGTTTCTTCAACACGATGCCAGGGGAGAATAGATGGGCCGTCTCTGCGAAGTCGTCGTAGCCGACACTATATCTACGCGCCGACCTTGTGAATTCAGTCGAAGCCGTCAGGTCGGTAGAGGCAGCCATCGCGCTTGGGACGGTACGGCGTCGGCCGAGGGCGCTACCGAGACTTGGCCTCCTCCGCTTGGTGAGGGCAGAGGTCTCGTCCTGTCCGTCGTCGTCATCCTCGTCACTGTCCTCGATGCCATCATCGGTCGAACGGGCACTGCGGCCGCTCTGGGTGCTCCGAGGGCCGGGAGTGGGCTTTACTTGGTCGACAGTCAGATGCTGCGAGGTGGGTCTGTGCGGAAGAACGGGTTCATCGTGGGCATCTGCGTCGAACGATCCGACATCGCGCAGAACGTCGTCGGCCTCGTCCAAGAGCTCCTTTTCCTTCACACCGAAGAAGGAGGAGATTTTCTCTAGCTCGACATCCAAGGCTCGACCAAAGACAGCTTCGGGGTCCTCATTCTGGAGGAGGGGCCGCGTTTCGACATCAGAGGTACCGGGCTGGTGGGTGCTCTTCTCGAGCCCGTAGATCCTGAGGAGGCTCACGTCAATCCAGGTCGAGGCAGGCAGACGGTGATGGGGGGTGGAGGGGATAGAGGACAGCGGTAGACTCACAGTTTCTTGAGGCTGCTATAGGCGAGGTAGTGGCTGCTCCAATCTGGCACGGCATTGAACTGGATGCTGTGAGAAAACTTCATGTCGTCGCGCTCGTCGAGCCTGCGTCTCTTCTCGTCCCTCTTGGCTTTTCGTCGGCCGTTCTCGTCGGGCTGGCGTGGCCGAGACTGCTTGTGTCGGCTATCGAGCTGGCTGAGTTCGTAAGACTCGGCCGAGATGGCAGTGCTCCCTCCTCTACCCTTGGGCTCCGTCGAGGTCTGGCTGGAACGCTGGCGAGCTCGTTGCGCGTGAGCAGTGTCGCAGGAAGAGGAGGGGTCCACTGAAGACCAGGAGGGTGTTATGGTGGAAACCGGTTGGGATCCGATGCGAGTTGGTGGAAATCCAGATGCATGCGAAAGACGCCGGCGGCAATAGTGTGTCTGGACGGGTTTCTTCTCTCCAGGCGGTAGCGGCTCATGAGACCTGATGAAACGGGTACTCGGGCGCAATAAGCCGATATAATGATAATGATATCCTGTTCTCGGGCACCACCTGGGGCCCGGGCCAGTGACGGTGAGAGACAGGTTCGGTCTACATGCATAGACGGCAAGGAGGGTAGGTAGGCAACAGGGAGCAGACAGATGGCAATCTTATCGGAAGCCTCCGTGTGGCTCCACACCCCTTTGCTTAGATACATATAGGGCACTTAGACATGGGTGCGGGTCGATATGCAGGTACAAGAAGCTCCGCCAACAGGATAGAACTTGTATGTGCATAGTACTTGAATCTCATTGTCCAAACAACCTGCGCAGTTAGATAATATTATCTCGTCGTATTAAAGAGCAGGACTAGTAGCCTGTCCCCCTAATCTCCCATTCCTCTCCGAAGACATCATATTACATGTCGCGTAGCAGTTGAACCAGCCCTTATATGCCTCCATACCGCACAGCGTAAATGTAGGCGTCTACGTTTTACGCAACATTACAGAAGGTCAGTCAATTGCGTACCTACGCTTACTCGGAGAAAGCGATCTCAGCCTTCTCCCGACCGACTGAAGCCACGAAGATGACTTCTATGCAGCTCCCAGACCCCTCGCTACGCGAAACAATGAGCCTCAAAGGAGACCCCAGATCCCGAGTTCCCAGTCGCCGGGACACATTGCCAGGAATTGTTTTGGGGCATCTTCAGCTTTGTACATGCCACTAGTGAAGTAACGTCCTGTGTTTTCCGGACGGGTGGTGGAGGTATCGAGCTGGGTCGGGTCTCGGTGTTCAGCAAGCCGGATCGAAGCGTCCGACAGCGCCCCGATCGCAGAGCTCGTGAAAATACCGCCGCATGTACGGCCAATAGCTCTCTACCTCTTCATAGCCCGATCGACGTATTAGCTCCAAGAACTGTGCTGTCCAGGTACGGATCGGCCACCTAGGACGATGAACGAAGGCAAGGAAGTATTAATCCATATCTACCTTCCCAGCCCTTGGGTATATCGTAACACATCAGGGAACTGCGTATACACAACAAACAACGGAGGGGGCATGCCGTCTTGGCCCAGTTTGCGTCAACGGCTTTGGTGAAAGTAAAAAGCTTTCCCCGGAGGGCAATCCGGCCACGGTACTTGGTCCGCTGAAAAACAGCCAGGAGACGAGGAGTGGTGGCGGAGTAAGAACACCAACTCAGCTGGATCGGCAACGGGGCTCCGGCGTACCCAGGACAGCTTCCGGAGCTGTGAGTACCCGGGTATGTCGATATCAGCGTTCTGGTATCGATAGAAAAGCTCATAGGTAGGTAGGTAGTCACGAGAGAAGCAGGTTACAAACGGGGTTACAAACGGAGTCGCAAACGGAGTTACAAACATAAAAGGCTTCCAAGCGAGACACGTCCCGCACCGAGTCGCGCGCAACCATACCATAGCCAGCCCATAACTTTTAACGACAACCGAATCAACAGAGCAGATAAACCATAGTGTTTTTAGACGCCCCCCCCGGCCGACGTTCGTGGCGCTTTTGTCTAGATCTGCGCACAAGGCAGAGGCACCTACCGGCCTTTTTTTATCTCAATCCTCCTTAGGAAGTAATTAGGTAGTCTTAACGCTTCTTTGAGACTACCGATTCTCCGACACAGGGTCACATTAACATGGATTCAAAGCCAGAAGCTTCGCCTCCGTCAGTCGCTATGGCCCGAGCCCAGGCTACAACCGCACCGCCGCCAAGTACGCCAGCATCCATCCCAGCCGTTATCGTCCGGTGCGAGGGCGAGAAGAGTAAATTCGCGCCTTGGTCCGCCACCGCAATCAAGGCTGATCACCCAGTCTTCTCCAATTCCGTACCTCCCGTTCCCGGACGCATCGAGATCCCGCTGGTCCTGCACCGTGTCGGCACTCAGTCCGTAAACCAGGCCAGCCTCGACAACCAGATCGCCACCTACCTCAACATAGATTCAGAGTCTGGGTTTGCCCCCCCGGCGTGGCAGTCCCGCGTCGGCACCGTGCTGGTGGCGCGGAAGGACGGGAAACCGTTGCTTCCCCACCATCTGGAAGGCGTATGGATGTATTGCGACCGCATCCTGGACGTCTTCGGGGAAGGGGGAGGCCCGCCGACACGTTTTTATACCAGACAAGCGTTCGAGAAGTGGTGGAAGGGCTATTGCGAAGAACAGAAGCAGTTCCGGAAGGGGACCGGGGGCGAGGAGGACCCGGATGATTGGCGGGCGGTCAGGTCGCCCTACGAGATGTAGAGTTTCAGATCCCGAATAAGATCTGTATTTGTATATTGTGCTATCCCGAGATCGTTACCAGAGAACTTGTACAGAGAGACATCTGTTCAAAGGGAAGCATATGCCTTAGGTGCCTGGCTGCACTCGGGGGGCCGCAGCCATGTAGGTAATATCCGCCTCCTATCGGGTGATGGAGCTTGGCTCCCTCTCCCCCTCGCGTCAGAATCTCCTTTTCTCCCTTGCCCATCCGATTCCCCATCGCCTTCTCTGGGATGCGAAGTGTCCCTCTAAGCTGTTATGTGAAAGATACTAACACGTGTATATGATAATCCCATCCGAAGGCTGTGTAGAACTTCCTCAAGCCCGAAGCAAGTTAGGCAGAATGTTGGTGGCGAATGATGGTCCAGGCCCGTGCGGCCTAGCTGCTAAGACTGCGTCGAGGCCAGTCTTTTTTGATGTTGGGATTAACGAAGGCTCTAGCAGGCCAGGCCAATGGTCTTTGCCCTGTTCGAGATGCCCTGAGTATATTAAGCCTAACGGCTGCTTATTCCAACCTTGATCCTCGCGAATTATTGCGGCGATTGAAGCCGAGCAGCTATCCCCGCATCAAAGCTCAGATTCCCTTTCACTAAAGTGGTGCCGTCATGGCGCAAATGAACACTAGAGAGCCCGGGGCTGCGGATTTTGATGTCGAAACCCAAGAACGAGACGCTGCGAGCTTACAAAACCCACACCGCGAAATCTTAACACGGGCCATTCTCAATGTCCTGTCAGGTCCAATCGCAAAGATAACCTATGGCCAGATTGTGAACGGGCTTCCTCTTTCTGAAGTCACGTTGGATAGTTACGAGGGTACCATTGCTCGTGGACATCCCCTACTTGATCAACATCTGGAGCTGTCCTCAAAAGTTCTCGACAAGCTCGATCAGCTCTACTCGACCTTTGACCCTGAAACATTAAGAATGAGCTCGACGGTGGGTGGACTATGTCTTTGTTTTGCCTCTTGGGTTTGGGGACTAATTGACTTTGTTCTCTTTCCAGCTTCTCTCTGCTTTCCGAGCTGCTAGTCCTGGGTCCAGAGCCTTTCACATACGCCTAATTGGGCTAGTCGCTAGATCCGTTCATCAGATTGCCGTCTTGCTGTTCAAGCAGAGTCAGATACGTCCTGAAAGCGACCCTCTCCTATCGTGGCGGCCGAGCGAGGATTCAATGTCCCGCTCGTATCCAAAGGGATTTCCCCCGACCTTTTTTGCGCACAAATGGTACCGGGACTATGACCAATATCCTGAAGGCGTCGCTGATGGTGTGGGATATTGGGCTGAATCACGTATACTAGGGGGGGTGGTTGTATTCGACAGACGAACACCTGGGTCCGCGGAAGACGTCGAGGTATAGGGCTATTGATCCCAAGTTTTCCACGTTGATTTAAGAGCTAACTATACAACCAGACCGATGCGATATACTTGCATTCTGACAACCGAGACGGTACGTATCGTATCTACCGTCTACTTGACAACCAGAAGCAACAGCTGTTACAGTTTTTGCTCTCTGAAGTGCCACCATCATCATGCCCGCTTCCAATCCATGGCAATATGGATAACCGCAACCGTGTCGACCCTGAGGAACCGATGAAAGACACAGGGATCTATCGTGACAAATGGGAACGTAAATTGCGGCCGGATGATGAGGGGGATGCTCGTCTTAGGGATGTCATAGATGATTTCAACTACGTATCATACGACGAATGGGCAGATGCGCAATACCGGGCGATGATAATGAGAGAAAGACGTGAGCTAGGAGAGCATCTTGCGTGGTAACTACCCAGGTGTTTTTGTAAACTAATACAACAATGATCGTTCATCATGACGACCTTATTCTGTGCCGTCGGTGTGTGGCTCCCTTTACAGCAGCGGAAACATTTCCCCGAAGTTAAGGATCCAACCTGACCTTGAAGAAAGTCGAGAAATAAAATAATAATAATAATAATAATAGTTTAGCCATGATGGGAAACGGGAAGCAGCATATTATGCCGCCCCTCCACCCTCCCCTGGCGGCTCTATGAGCTGCGCCTTTCACCTAAAACTGGATGACTGAACATTAGCATCCAACCTGATTATAGAACTGGCCACCAAGGAGACCAAATGCTGCCCCACTTGTCGACTTTAAAGGTGCTGTTGGTTCCGATTCTTCACAGCCCAGCGCTTCGAGAGAACGGGGCGTTTGATATTCCCCGAGACCTTGATGCTCAAAGTCTGGGTAGAGCCCCGCAAGAGCGCGCCTTAAGAGCAACGACGTTCGAGACTTCTCGTCAGCTGTCGGCCATGGGTTACGTGTCAGGATTACACCTCATGGCCACTGTAACGGCCCTCGACAGCTTAGAACTATTCCGTCTAACTCGTTCCTGCCGTGACGATAGCCTCGAACCAGATACCTTGCAACCAGACGTGCGTGTGACTCGGATATGGAGGCTAAAGATGCCTTGCCGTCCCCGCACCATCCTCGTGTGCCTCGACAACCCCAAACCGCAGTGATGTGAGTCAATACAGCGCATGATTCCGCCACACGGCACGGTCATCACAGAGAACATTCTCGGGGAGGCACAGTACACGTAGGGAGACAGGTATTCGTACCAGTACTTATAGGTGTGAACGTGGTTGGGGCGATTGCATGTCTTCTACATACCCACCAACGCAAGCCCTGAATGTTGACACCACTTAAGGCAATCAATTCTACCTATTCATACTGGGGCTTAGGGCCATACCACGGGCTCCTTCTTGGCCTGTGGCCTTGGGTAACATTGCTCATGACCTGGTTACTTCTTTTTTAAGCTACGCCAATGGTGTTCTAGGTATTACTCTAGGAGGTATTGGTTCCTAACACTACCTTTCTAACATTAGCGCGTTGCGCGCAACGTCCGCGCTAAGCTGTATTCTTGAATAAGAACATTTCCTCATTAGCTCTATCTCTACCGGTTTTAAATTATTAGGATACATTTTCAGGTGGCTCCGTGAGGAGGCTGCAGAGTTCGGCTTCGGTGCCCATCGCTTGTTCCATGTTCTTCATTCGTTTCCTATTTGATTCACGATTTTATACATGTCGCAGAACTTCTGGATTTCCCGTGAAGCCAGAGTAGTTGACAAGCAGTTGAGTATTTCCTGTCGTGGGCTCTCCTGTGCCTTCCTAGCATGCAACAGGGAATCATAAAGGTTTCTTAGTACACATTGCTTCAGCACCAAGGTAAGCCCCAGAATTAAAAGGAGGCAGAATATCTCCTCCCTCAAGAGAGGGTAGACTCTGCGTTGAATACATGACTGTTAACTAACCCTCCCGGCCCCAAAATCTGCCTTGACTGTCCTGACAGCTTTAAAATCTGCCCGAGGCAGGAATTGCAAGTGGAAGAATGCAGACTTGATCCCAACAGACAATATTGTGGGCCTCCCCCCTGTTCCCAACTCGCGGGGGGGTGACGATTGAAATATGTATCTTTCGCTTTGCTTGTTTTACTTCACGATGTTATGACCATCTCCTTTATCTCTGCACCCTTCATTCTAACTTAGGAACAATGCCTGCTGAAGCAGCCGGCTGAAGTTACAGCCTACCGACCCAGAAGCTTCATAATGATCCAGTCGACGCGCTGCTGTTCTTGGGAGGATAGTTTGTGGACGCCTGTGGGGACCGTGGGGTGGGTGGTTGCCAAGGTTGAGGCCATGAGGGCGGATAAGTAAAAAGGGGGGGAGGGGAGGAAGACAGAAACAAAGGAGATGAGGAGGACGGTCATAATAACAACAATGAATATGGAGTTGATGTGTGTTTGCAGAATGCCGGACTGGCCACAGAAAAGGCACATCAGCCGGGCAGTAAGCGCCGTGGCAGAGGAGGCGTTGTTAAAGATCGACAGCAGGGGGTAGAAAGAGGCAACCGTTTCCGGGATAAACGGTCGTGGCCGAGAGAGGGCGTCCAGCAGGTGCTATAGAGCAACACTGCCGGAGGGAGGCCGGGGGTAATCGTGGCTGAGAAGAGTGGAGGGTCAGTAGCATGTTGGGGAGGCCACGAGACAGAGAGAGGGGAGGTGGAAATAGAATAAACGGCGAAAATGAGAGATGGGGGACGGAATATAAGACACTGAATAACGTGCTAAACTGTAATGTTGGTTTCTATATCCCTTGTTGGTTGTTGCTATCCTTGGCTTGCAGGGTATCAACGCCAACCAGGCCGACTTCGAAGTCCAATGAAAATATAGAAACTCTCCCTTTGGTTTCCTACGTACCTAAGCACTGGGCTGTGCCTACAGTCGGCCAGGCCATCATGTAATAATCTCATACCAACAACGACATGAACAGACACCAACAGCCCTATAGCAATACCACCGCAGAAGCCCTTAATGACTGGACTTTCCCATGTCAATAGATTTCACTATATATATCTGCTTCAACCCATCTCAGCCCTGAGTCCTCTCTCATACAGAAGTCTCCCAACCACAAACACCCTCTCTGTCTCCGTTGTCTTCTATCTCCCTTTATTGCGAAATACCTAAACTGGTGTCTATCCCGGAGCTGTCCTATTTGTCTATCTCACCATCTTTACCACATACTTTTCTAAGTTAATCATATACTCATATTCATTTCGGATATATCTCTCTACATTGCTCTCACTTGACCTGCTTTTCAAGAGCTCAAGGTCCATTCGCGTAAGAAAACATTATACTCTACGTGAATCTCTTAGAATCTTATGCTAATATACCGGGCCCATGCTAGAAATAAACCACCTCTACAATGAGCAACATCGACTGCCCTAAGTGCGCTGGAGATGGCATCTATGAGGTGAAGGTTGAAGAATGGGTGGAAGTTACTTGTGGGTGCGGTAATAACCCAGACTGCGACAACTGCGGGGGGGATGGGGTGTATTCTGAATGGCAAATGCGAATTGAGTACGTGGATTGCGAATGTTCTTAGTAGGTACTAGTGTCATCTAGTATCACGCTGGAGGTCCTGTTTGGAAATGAAACAACACTTATTCGACTTGCGTTTTTTAATTTTGGTGCAGGAGCTACAAATACAGCTGTTATTAACAGGAGAGTAAGGATGATGCAAGCACGAGCCTATAGTTTCTAACGGTCCTCGTCCTTGTTGTAACAGTCCCTAAGGCCTTTGTTCAGTGCCTCAGCTCCCTGCTGGTATTACATAGGCAAGTGAACATTTATATCCCATAGCTGGCTGTTAAGCTCGACGATCTCTGTCGCTGTTATTACCGAAAACTCCAGGTTGCTTGTTTCTGTCTTTAATTCGAAGGCTTGATCATTATCTTACAGAGATAACTACGACTTGGGAGTTGTAGGCATCATTGGTAAGGTAACTGGGACGCACGATGCTAGAGATAACTGCGTAAAGGAAGACAATCAAGTGTAAAGGGGAGCTACATTAAGTGGGAAAGGGCTATTAAGGCAAAGATGAGGGAGCAGTAAAGGTGCGCTGCTCATCTCGGTTCAAGGGGAACAGTCCTGGAAGAAAGCGTTGTCTTCAGCGTCTCCACCTGCCAGAGAAATGTGCAGAGATGAGAAATGCCGTCGATGCTCTTAAAGAGCAAGACAGAAATTCGATGTTAAGGATGTAAGATGGATCATGGCACCTAGCCATTACAGTAGCAGCTAGATTCAGTTACTATATATAATTTTAGAGGCTATCTCTATTAATTGCCACGAAGCGATTTAAACGTAGCCAGCTGCTGCAATGGGGGGAAGGATATAAAGGCATAATAAATAAGAATACGCCGTTGGTTTTTCTAACGTAATATAAAACGCCTAGACTCCTAGTAACATGATATAACTACAGGTCGAACTTTATTTTTACGTACTTTTCATTCAATACTTTGTGATTATTAAATATAATAATCTGTAAATCAAACTTGGCTATAAAATCCTCTTAGCTTTCTTTTGTTATAATTTACCCCGGCTCTATTGTCTTAATTATTAAAGGCAATATAAAACGGCTTGGTTAAGTAATAGATTCAGAACTGCTGCTATCGTTACTATTAACAACGCTACATTAAGCGGTTAAGAATCTCTGGATCCGGCTACCAACCACACCACCCTAATAGCTCCTTTAAGGTTAGATACATGCATATTCTAAACGAGCTCATTCTGTCAAAACCCTTTTCTATCCAGATTTCAAGCGCCCTTCCCAAGATACCGGAAAACCACGGACTCCAGGTTTACTCTGTTAGAAGCTGGTATCGCGCACCGGCCCTTATTCTGTATGCTTCGCGCTAAGAATTACGTAGTCAGCGCGTTATGTACGTGACAAGGTCCTAATTCGCATCAGGATATCCATTACAAAAGTTGGTTCAACCTTCTAACAAGGTATCAGCAATCATTCTCACGCTCCACTGTACTATGCCCGTTTCCGCCGCGTCCCGAAAGTCATCCCCATGATCTTCATTCGTAGCTTTGCTGGATCCTGCTGGGCGACGGTGATGGAACAGCATCGACTCCAGCGTCAGGCGGTTGTGGTGCTTGTACCCTTGGACACCCGCGCGGAAGAACCGCGGATTGATGCCAAACGTGTCACTAACATCTCTGAGTGCAATTTTATGCAGGATTTGCCTCGCAGCCTTTTGCGTAATCACGTAGCCTCGAGTGCAGACGCCCTCCTAGACGCGGTGCGCTGCTCGCATGCACCCCGGATACCGCTCTTTCAACATGAAGGGAACGTTGAAGATCCATCCGTTTCTAGGAACGGTTATGTCGTTGGTGTAGACCACCCGGCCCTTAGGTCCTAACGTTTGGTTGGCGAACGGGAACTGCATACTGCAGTAGCCGATCCAGAGGACATCCCAGCTATATCCGTACGCTGCAAATTCTAGGGGCAACGTAGTTAG